TTCTGGACTGCGATATACTACAACTAATTCAATATCTTGCCGTCGGCATTTCAACTTACATCTCACCAGTTCACATGTCCCTGGAACATGTGCTACTGTCTCAGCTAATCTTATGGTTAGGGTACTTTTCGTGTACAGAATAACCCCGCCTCCCCTTCGGTTTAATCTATCAGCCCTACTGGTTAAAAACCAGTCAACTGGATTTCACGTTAACCAAGTTTCCGAGACAGCAATAACGTCCGGTTTCCCTTTATCCACCACTGACTTGAGCTCCGCCGTTTTATTTAGTAGGCTGCGGGCATTTGTGTAGCATACCTTTAAGTCTGTGGAGAGCTTTTCCTTGCCACCCAGAGTGGCTTGGGGATCGTTTTGCTCCGAATTTTTACAATTTGAAAACCCTTAGTAACGAGGTTTCTTTCACCGTTTATTTCCGCTTCTGCAGCTCGTCTCTTAATACGATCAGCTAGGCTGAGATCCTCACAGACATATATTCCGGATCCAATCAGTTTACGTGAATTACTCAGAATCAGGTTCCTTTCTTCCACCGTGTTGAATGTAACCTATAGGAGGCGGTTTTTCTGAGGACTTTCGGAATCCACCTTTTTTCCTATTCTATAAAGCTTACAAATACTAACTCCTGAAACTGTATCTGGGAGTAGTTTACTTAATGATGTCTTAATATGATTGAGATCATGTTCAAATCTTGCCTTTGGTTCTGTATCTGAAGATTCTCTTATCTTATGAAAAATGACTGATCTATCAAAGAGATCTGTCTTGTCACGCAGTGAGGATTTTTCTTCTGATAACATCCCTTCCAATGCTCTGCTGACCAGCTGCGTTTTGCCTACAGCCCTTTTCTTCTTACCGAAGTCCATTTGTCCCCACTCAGAACATCCACACCTGAACTATGTGGAACGGTGACAGTTTTATCCGGATCTTCTATTTCGACTAGAGGTGTATGACTGCCGATGTCAATATCAAGCGACACTTCATTCCTCGTTAATGTCAACGGAGATGTCACGTTCCCATCAACCGCAGTCGGGTGTTTAACGGGTCTAGTGGCAGCACTTACTACACTGATACATTCTTCATCGTCAGTGCTCCTGTTATCAGTGCTTCCGCCGTCGTTATTCTTGCAGGCCAAAGCCAATAGGCCCATAGCCTCGTGAATTAGTACCTTTTTATCCGTACAGTAGAACATGCAAAGCCAATGCGAGTTAGGCTTCGAGCATCTTTTGTAAGCCGTCGGACTTAGGCGTGTACACATTTTGTGGTACCACTTTTTACAATCGTCACACTGCATCCCCTCCTCAACGGAGAACAAACAATTTGGTTGCCCACATTTGTGAGTCTTACCAACTATTGTTATTAGATTTTAAAGGTTTAAAAACAAAAAATGATCGCAATGTGAACAGAAGTGTTAGTCAAGGACTAAAAAAAGGTACTCAGGACAAAATTTAGCAAAACATTTCGAACTTTAACCAAAGTACTCTTAGTTAAAACAAACCAAGAATGATTTTTAGTGCAATAAGTACCCAAAGCATATATAATCACAACAAGTACAAAAATCACTGCCCTTTTTGAAACTAGCGCTGCCACATTAGACCCTGTTTGGAACAAAGAGATTGTTACGAATGTTTATTTTAACAGTTGTTAAAATGACACGTTGGCAACTGTGAAAAATCAAATTAAATTGCCATTTATATATGACACAACGATAATTATATTATTACCATTATTAAATCGTTACCGTTATGCCTTTTTAGGTATCAATACCAAGGTTTGACTTGTTGATTTCGAATAAATTGTGCATTAGGTAGATTGTTATAAATAAATAACATATTTCCTATGTTTTTATTTCAAAAAGAATGATCTTGGTAATTTGTCTATAAAAGTAGTAAAAATGAAAGTTTGTTGCACCCTTACTTCATCCTTAACGAGGTAACACCATATAATGTGATGTATTGAAATATATTATCGTGAACGCTAAATTCACCAATCACTCTTAAACACTCGTGTTTCAGACGACAGACCGCAGATCGTCAGACGATTTGCTGAAAATTGCCGCCGTCGAGGGTAATTACTGTGGAAAAGACAATCAAAGGCCGACGACTGGCTCATATATCAGGAGCCACACTTTGTTTCTTAGACCTATTTTCACCATCAAGTTTTTTTTATTAAAGTATTAATTGTTCTTTATGGTCATTAGAGTGGGCTCAGGCCCTTGATACCTCGGTAGAGTAGTTCGCGTTATATATTAACCGTGAGATATGACGTTACTGTAAGCTAAGAGGTGTCATTATCCCCGTTCAACATGAGTAGACCGCGAACGTCCACACAGCTTTCCTGCACATCCCCTTCATCTAACAAAGCCAAAAAGTATCTATGTGACCCAGTCTCCGATGTACTAAGTCGTAAGGTCACTAAGTGCCTACAAAATAATTATATTCAAAAAGACGACTCCACCTCCCTCAAAAGCAGGATACTAAAGTAGAATCGGATGGGACATTCCAAATTCAGCAGTACGAATAGAAGTCGTAACCTGTTTGAGAGTTGGATGGGAGATAAGCAGGCTATCTTTTCTATCGTACCAATTTCTAGGCCTCCTCATATTTATGGAGGCATTATATTAGCCAAGCCTTTGATAGAACAATCAAATGTTTGAGGTAACCCGAAAGTTCTTCCATTTTTAAATAACAAGCTCTTAGCTGATGGTGCTCAGTCAAGAATCCGCACCAGATCCGGTTCAAGTACGTGTCGCTGTACATCTTCTACGGCCGATTGTCAGTTCAAATACCATGCATTACGGTACAGCAACACTTAATCTAGACATGCGTTCGCGTCATGTCATTCCTTAGTTCTGATTTTTTTGACTTGTGATCGTTAAGTAAGAAGTGTCAGACAAAAGCGTCTACAAATCCTCAGTGCCCTTGACATTTTCAACTCTTTCTTAATAACGGAAAGTTCAGAATCTCAGTTTTGAACATTAGAGATAAACGCTCCATTTTGTTTTTCCTGAGAGACATCAGTATCACACTCCGCATTGAAAAGGATCCGAGTTTCGCTCTTTTATACCATATAACAAGCTTATTAATGTCATCCTCCAGGCATCAGGGCATAAATCCAATCCACCCATGTCTGTAGGGCAGAACATTTTGTTTAGTTACGGCTCCTTATGGTTTAGTGGGATGTCACGAACTTATGGTATAGAAGCTGACTTATCACGCAAAATAACTCTTTAAATGGTGTTACGAACGTTGAATTGGTTTCACTTCCTACCCAGTAATCCTATTACAAGCAAACTAGACAATTCGCTAATATACGAAGCCTACTCAAGACCCTATGATACCTGAAAAAAGTAATAATACAAAAAAAAATGAAAAGGGCTCCAATTGCTTCGATAAAACAGATAGCCAATTGTATATCACAATACTGTTTCTAGAACCATATTTTATTTTATAACCACACATAATCCCATACTCTCAGCTCCTTTCCGAATCGCCTCCATTTGTCAGTTGTATGTCCACTCACACCTTGTTAATACTTATTTTCTTTAACCTATTAAATGCTCTTTCTTAACAAGTACCTTAATAAAAGAAAATTAGAATGAGTAATCATACCTTAAACATTCATTCATGAATATTGGCTACTCTGCTCCTCGTGTTTTCTTTTACTTGCTCCCTCTTTCAGCCCCCTTGTGATATGGAACGAAAGATTTTATCCTGCACCATCCTCAAAGCCTTAGACATTCCAAAGGGACATAAGGTTGCGACATTTAGAAGCTCCCACCTTCAATGGACCTATCCTTGACCATCAGTTGCACATTCGCAACGCAACTTTCGTGAAGCGCGCCAACTGTGATACTGATTAAAACCATCTACATTTATATCTTATAAATTATCAACCCAGCTATGTAATTTACTACAGTTGATATTGTATCATTTGTATCAATTTGATCTTGCCTGTAAACTGGCATGCCCCATGTAACAAACTGTTATTTGAGAATAAATTATTATTATTATTTGTCTTGGAGTTTCCTTCCGGCTAATGGGTGGTCTAATCAAGGAATTAAACAGAATTGTCTTCAATGCATACTCAGGAAATCATCTAATATAATCTTCTAATTACAGCCTCCTGCCATAGAAAAAATATAGCTATATAGGAACGTGTTCAAAGAACGTCAACCGAAAGAATCCTCGAGCTAAAAATTAGACACTACTCAGCTCTCCTTAATGAACTAAATTTGAAATGCTTTTTCTGCAGGATAAAATGATGATTAGACTGAAGATGACGCAGGTATTCAGTGTTTGACGACGCTTTTACCGGCAACACCTTCTAATATAATTAGTACCCACCGAGAGAAATCAAAAGACAGAGTCGAGGAGATCGGGAGAGTGTATCTGGCGATTACCAATACCGAGCGCCTTCAGCTAGATGAGTCCACTAAAACATATGGTCAGCATCCAATGTCGAAAACTTACAGGGCTATTTATTTTGGGGATTTATTTACCGCTACAAGACGTATTCAAATTATTGTACTAACTAGGAATTCTCGAAATAGTGCAATATACAGCAAGTAGAACTAACTAGGCAAAAATGAGCGTACCATATTTGGAATTCAAAATAAGTGGACTATCGGGTGCAAAAGAATCTTTAGTTTGCAAAAATATCATAGAGAATTGAGAAGAATCTGCTCTTAATGCATCATGGCTCTCACAATCCTTTTAATTCTAAAAGAACACTTGAAAGCTTGAGCGAACATTCATTTAGTGCAAGCCTCATGCGCGCTGACAAAAAATAGTACATTTTTTTGAAGTTTAAATCAACAGTAAATTCGCCTATTGAAAACTAGTACCTAAGAGGGTTTCTAACCCTCTGCTTACTCTATAAGGTTTAAAGATTCATCGAATCATGCTGTAAAAGGACTGACATGGACCCTTAATTTTCTGCACTCAAAGCAAGAAACTTAGGTTGAGTTTCTGAGTTTGACCTTGCCCATTAAGGCGGCTTACATCTCCGTGGCGGTAAAAATTGGGCTTGTCATTATTAAAGTTTAGTTATTAAGATGTCTAAGTAAAACTATGCAAGACTATTGTTATGCATATTATGACCATTGTAGTTTAGTAGTCTTGTTCATGCTCATAAATGAGGTCGTATATTTTAACTCACATATTTAAAGAGATCTAAAGTTCAGATTGTTAAGTTCTATATATATCACAACAGTTTTTCCCGTGCTCTTCTTCAATGAACCTTAACTTTTGGTGGTTAATTAAGTCGTGGCGATTAAAGGGTAGGTCACTGTTGGATATGAACAGTTGACTGAGGCGACCAAACTATGTTCAGTCTACCTATAGTCTGTTTGTATGTGTTCCTTCAGTATGAATAGCTTTCCATAAGCATTAAGTGTCCAGTTAACAAGTATTTGAGCAGACAGTTGTTCGCGGATTTAGGATCTTTGAGGAACGATTCATTTATTCAAATAATTCTGGATGGAGTAAAAGCTTTTGTTTAACAGGATTCCGTATCTAGTAGCAGTGGATCACAGATGCCTCCGAGTTTGAACCTATATGTATTTAACGACAAAAGAGAAATATTAGTGAATTTTAGTGAAATTCAGTCCATAGCCCTTAAGAATATGTCGTCTTTTATTAAAGGACTCCTGGGAAGTCGCTTCGAATACCTCGGTCGGCAGATAATTCCAGAATTTGACTATCCGTATAAAGTAAAAGTACACTTACAGTCCCTTCTGCTATGTTGGGTCTAATTTCTGGGCGTTATCCTAAGGTTTGCGTTGGAACTCAGCTTACTTAGGCGTTTGAGGGGATATCCAGTAGTGTTTAGGATGCTATAAATCATTAGGTCACCTCTTGAGCGCCTATACTGTAATGGATAACGGTTCTGTGATCCGAGGCATCTTTCATAAGGTTTGAATTTAAGTCTTCGCACTGATGTCATGGATCGCCTTTGGATACGTTCCAATGTGTTCTTATGCTTTTGGAGTGAGGGGGGAAACGCTATATTTCCATACTCTAAATGGGGTCGAATAAAAATGATTAAGTGAGAGATCCTACCTTTAAGCTGGCCAGAAATGTGCTTCAGCGCTACCTATGTTCCTCATTCCAATATCTCATCAGTTCAAAATAGTTGCATAACCATAGTTGCTAACATTCATAATTATTTAGTGTACTAACTCTGTGATAGACTATACGTTTGTTTTGCCTCACTGTCATTCGTCGTTTCTGCTTATTGTCATCTATTTTCAAATTTTTGGTAAGTGATTCCATATATACTCAGCCACTGTAAAAGTGTGTGTTTCACCCACTTCAAGCTGGACGATCAGCTTATTAGGCTAGGCTTTAGTTCTTGGTGATATTAAATGAAGTCATTAAGGTTCGTGGTTACTAGAGATTCACGACTATTCATCAATATACACTAAATCACAGTACCTCATTTCTTTATTCAACTATACGTACAAAAGTGTATGCTAATCGGGTTACATTATATATTACTTGCATTTATGCTACATTTGTAATTCAAAATTAACAGTTTCTGCATTTCATGTGGTCTAGGCTGATATACTTTCATACTACATTACCTCGGTTAAGTGGTCAGACACGACTTTCAATCACTGGGTTGCAGTCTTGAACCTTTTTTATTTCCGTTTAGCAAGTTTGGTATGTTCCTCAGTCCTCGCAAAAAGTAACAGAAAGCCGATCACAATAACATTATCAATCACTCAAAACACACCACTTCTATTTTATTAGTTATGTGGCTCCTAAAGCTCCACACATTTTTTGTCCTATTTATTTACTACCATATTTCCTCCTTTCAATGTCCAGGAATATGGTTACTCTCTCCAACTCTAATAGATTTGTCATCAAATGATGGGGCATTATTGATCGGGAAAATAATTAAATTCTGTATGTCGTGGATAAATCCTATTGTTAGTAATTTTTGGTCAAAAAATTACGCTTCCATAACTTTTTAAATTTCAAAGCTCCATACTTATTTTCTAAATTTCCACCACTCAGTTACATCTAATGGCTAGTCAGAATTCCAATTTATCACATCGTCGCACTACCATGGTTGGCGACAGTGAGCAACAAATTACGAGTTTCAATGCTAATAGTGCTGCTTTTCACACGGAAAACGACAATTCCATACCTTCGTTTGATGAAGAAATATTTGATGCTTGTCGCAATGGGGATTTGGCTCTTGTAAAATGTCTACTGGAAAATGGAGTTAATGTTAACCTCATAGATACTTCAGGTCGAAAGTCGACACCGCTACACTTTGCTGCTGGATACGGTCGTCGAGACGTTGTTAGTCTTCTCTTAGATCACAATGCAGATGTTTCTGCTAGAGACGAAGGAGGTTAGTCCCCCCCCCCAATTTCACCACTTATATTATGATGGTACAAAATGTTTATATTTTGTTTAATAAAAGGAGAAATTGACGTATTTTCATTACTCAAAAATGATAATGATGACATCGCTTAACATAACCCCCCCAAATGCAAATTGCTTTGAATCTACTACTTTGATTCAAAAACTTCTCGATTCTGTTTTTCGTACAATTATAAACTCATTCATTCTAGTACTTAATCTGTCATCATTTTGCCTAGGATTAAATCTTTTATTTCGTGATTTACATTATTTACCATCATTCATTTGTCCCAAGAAAGATTCGCGATAGATTCAAAGCCATGAGACATAACTCCTAATAAACACTAGTGCATTTAATTTTTCAAGCATCAATAATTCACCCTCATGTATTCATCTAAGTATATTCCGGCGCAAAATAGATCACGAATTCTGTATATGTTATCAAAAATCTTTTTCTTTGTTGATCATTAGATTGTAGCATATTGGATGTATCATTGTTGGATACAAACATCTTTTTACGCAGTTTTAACACCATACGTCTATTTTTCTGTATTTATATATATGCATAAAAATATCCACGTTACTTCTTCCGTATGTTAAGGTTTGATTCCCTTGCATAATGCATGCTCATTCGGACACGTTGATGTGGTACACCTGCTACTATCAGCAGGTTCTGACCCCAATGCTGAAGATTGCTGGAACTACACACCTCTACATGAAGCTGCCATAAAAGGAAAAGTGGAAGTTTGCATTTTGTTGCTTCAGGTATGTCATTTGGTGTTGTATTTTTGTTAGAGGATTGTCGAGTTTTAATCCTTTTTTCTTGTCACTGTGACAAAGTTGAGTATGAATTTCACTTTTTAATTATATCGTACAAATCTGATCATTGTTACGTAGGGAGGATTATATTGTGTAATTATCTTAGTTATGAACGTAGTGATCGAGGTTGCAAAGTTTATACCATTGAATTGGGTTTCTATACATATTTATATCAGGTTTCCAAATATGAGTCATCCGATGATAAATATTTTCGAACTAGAAAGCATTCATCCATACATCTATTCCAAATTACTAAAAGTACTTGCAACACCCAGTTTAAACTCCATATTTCAATGTAGTATTTCTCCTAAAACGCTATCTTTTTCTATTGTATATTTCCTTGCAAAGTATCTACAGTGAAGCATAGGATTACCATTGAAGCACTTAAGCTTATGGTCGATCCTGATGTGAACTATTTCCTCATTCAGTTGTGAATAATGTAAAACAGAATTGTGTCCTCCATTTGCAACGTAGTACTTTAACTCTGAACATATTAAAACGGTACTTTTTATTGTTCAAGTTAATAAGCTGATGGATTAGTAAGTAGTACATTTTTTCTACTTAAATTAGGCAAAAGCCAATCCCCACGCTCGAAATTTGGATGGCAAAACCCCTGTTGATTTGGCTGAGGGTTCGGCCCGTTTAGCTTTGGTTGGAGAGTATAGGAAAGATGAACTACTTGAAGCCGCTCGAAGTGGGAATGAAGAAAAGCTCATAAATCTGTTGACTCCACAAAATGTAAACTGTCATGCTGGAGATGGTCGTAAATCTACTCCATTACATTTAGCTGCTGGTTATAACCGGTAAGTAATCTATCATTTCACTGTTCTGTCTTTTAATATAATCTTTATCTCATAGATCCAGATTTTTTAATAGAGAATCAAAACAACCGTGTACTATTGTTTTCTCTTGTTTCTAACATCACCCTACTTCAATTTATGATTAAGAACACTTGTAGATGATAAAGCATAATTATGAAGAAAGCGTTCTTTTCGCTCCACCTAGCTATTTTTACAAGCCGTAGTCACAATGAATATTGCAAATTTTGTTCATTTTAATTTTCTTTTTCGCTTCGTTTCTATTCTTTTTTACCTTCATTTTTCAACTCACTGGCTCACCCTTGGTAAATGTTCTATCCTGGTTGGGGTTTTAAATACTACCACCAAATACGGCATTCTAATAAGCTTTTCTGAAACCGCGTGTGTCATTTAAACTGATCTTCAGTTCTCACACATTGATGGAGTTCGGACAACATATAGGTTTTACTATCTCTTTGGAAAGTCTTGATGTCAACGTATTCTGTATCTCTAAGACTATTACTCAAGTGAAACGTCACAAATTTGTTCTCCATTTGTTGATTCGAAAATTGTTTTGCACGTGCGCGTATCCATAGACTTTGTTGTATCTACTTGTAGTTTGGCTAGGCGCCAGAACATAGGCGACACCAATCAGTTAGATCTCTAGTGAAAATCATTTATGTGCTGTTGGGTTGGAAGGCCGCACGAAAGTGAAAAAAAACTAGCATGGAAAAGGATATTCTTCCGTAATCTTTGGCTATGCATCGACAGATCGTAACCAGCATGCAATCAAGGCTCTATTCTACTATCAATTAAATGATCTTGAAAAAGTGTGTTCGACAGATATCGTATTGTTAAACAGACAGAGTCTTTTGCGTAGCTGATCAAGTAGCGGTGATCACCTCGTGCAGCTTTTCACAGATGTTAGCTTGTTTCTCGACAGTGCCAACTCCCGGGACAGTCACCACCGTATGTTACCTGACTTCCTCTCGGTGCAACCCAAACCTGGGCTCAGATTGATTACATTGCTACGACTGTTATGGTCATATGCAAGACTGGTGCTCCTTTCGGAAAACCTGTCTAAACAGCGAACACTAAATTTTAAGCCTCTCGTGTAGTCGTTTCAGTAATATCAGTCGCGTGCATTGTTTTGCTCTGTATAACACTTACTAATGAAAGTTTATCATGCTAGTGCAAAAAATTGGATAAGGGTATAGTTTTAATTAAACGGAAGTTTCAGTTGCTTAATTCCACTCTGCTCATAGTGATTACTAGCGTTTTTGTACAAAAATGTATTAACGCAAAAACTACCGTTATCTCTGCCAACTTATTTTCTCTATTGGTGAATAACTTTTCGTGCAGATTTCATACACATCTAATACCAAATATATTTTAGTTTGACTAATGTTATATAACGAATTATAGGACGTACTGAAAGCCATAAGTAGTGTAACTTGACAACTGTTAACGAGATTTACAAATTTCTATTTCAAAACATTATATTTTATTGGTTTTTTCAACATTATAGCAATTTTTTGAGGGCAAGAATACTTTCATGAATAAGTATTCGTTTCGTTTTCTGGAAGAGCTTATTTGAATAAATTCTAATTAAATATGTCATGCTTTTTTTGATTAAGTGAAGTAGGATTAATCCTATTTATCTATTTGATGATAATGTACTTTCACAGAATTTCATCACACTACACCTGATTAAACCCCTCTTTTGATTTGTATCTTTTAGTACAAAAATTGTGAAAATTTTGTTAAAAAATGGAGCTGATGTTATCGCTAAAGACAAAGGTGGTCTTATTCCTTTGCATAATGCATGTTCCTATGGTCATTTGGACGTTTGTGAATTGTTAATTAGTGCTGGTTATGGTTCTGCTCAAGTACATGCCGCTGATTTATGGCAGTATACACCATTACATGAAGCAGCCAGTAAATCACGTGCAGAAGTGTGTTTTCTACTTTTAGCATATGGTGCGAATCCAACCCAACCAAATTGCCATGGAAAGTCTGCATTAGATTTGGTACCGAATAATGATCTAAGACAGAGATTGCTTTTTGAGTATCGAGGTACGTTTATTCTGTGACACCACTATTTATGTATATGAATCCTTGTAACTAAAGGTGTTATTAGATTCGAAAGCTAGGGTTCGAATTTTATGATCATTGATCACAGATACGACATAGTTCGTATATGGATTGAATAATTTTTTTAGACGGAATGTTTAGTTTACCAAAGTTTTGTAATGACCTCATGTTCAACGCAATGAAATTAATTATTTAAATGTAGTAACTCAACAATTAGTATATCTTTGTAAACTTATTCTGTGTAAGTGTTATTTCTCTTCACAAGAAAGGCTCCACAAAACACATATGGGTACTTTGTTCACTGTTGGTTGTTGAATTTATTCGGTGTAGTTATCACGAAAGCTTTCTAATAAGTTTAAAACACTACGTCTTTTGTTCGAAGTACTTGAACTGCCATTAACCCACGATTTATCCGATGGTAAATAGCCATATAGTATGGTATTCCATTCAGTCCTGTAATATAATATTATAGAGACAGCTTACGTTGTAAACAAATATTTAGATATGTTTGAAAATTGTCTTATTTTTTCCTGGAACTTATATCGTGTGTAATTAAGGAAGTAAAGTTGAGTGAATTCACTTTCAAAATGTCAAACTACATAGAATTAGTCATAATAAAGTACGATTTCAGGTGTTCACATATAAGTTTCCAACCTCTTTCTATTAGACGTGGCTAGAAAAACTACTTTTTGCATACAACTCAACTCATTTATTGAAATCCATATAAAATTGTTATGATTTAAAAGTTTCAAGCTTCTTTTATTCTACTTTAAATATCCTCTCTTCTCGAATTAGGCTGTGACCCAGAATATGTAACCAATATTCTTATCATTTCGTTCTGACCAGAGTAGCAACTTCATTCACTCGTTTCCTAACCGTTGTTTAAGCATAGTGTACAGACGCAGCTTTCCCATCAGTCGTCCCACCGTGTTTGTAGTATAATTCCAAGGTATCGGTAATCAAGCATCTATAACGTTCGTGTTTGAAGAGATATGTATCGATACACTGAATTTTCCTTTAAGTCGGTAAACCTTTTTTTGGATTACAACGTTCTATACTTACAAATGGCCCCCGAATGCCCTGGTATGACCGAGAGTGGGGTGGGCCTGCCCTCCCTCTCGAAATGCTCTCACACGGCCACGCGTATACAGCCTCTGTCAGGGAAGTCCTTCTCGTGGCAGGGGTGTTGTTTACGAAATTGAGAGGACAAAAAGCGAATGTCTGGCGCTTTAACCGGATTCCAAACCAATGGTGCACATGGGCTCCACTATCCTGCGGGAACAAATGGCGTACGAACCAATCGTTGGTCACCGGCCACCGTGGGACTGCATCTCCTCTTGATGCTCCACTGCCTTGTGGGTCAGACCTTTAGGTCAAAGGCTCGGGGTGTTCCCCCCTAAGATAACCACCTGCTTCGGTCCGGGCACCCGAGCAGTATCAAAGCCCTCATACAAATCGAATGATCTATGTGGTGCATATGTATTTGGTGCCTCCTTGTACTAATGTTTATGTGTTTAAATAATAACAATAATAATACAAATGACTTACTCCATACCCTTAATAAAGTCAATCTTTGATAGAAACTTCATTTACACTCGCTCTTTACGTCTCTGCATCTGTGAAATTATTTAATTAATGTAGCGTTCACCTTTTTCTTTTACAGGATATGTTTTTCTTGAAGCTTGTCAAAATGCAGACATCCATCAAATTCGAAAATTGCTGTCTTTACCCACTAATACCATATCAAGCAACGCCTATCCAATAGCCCCACCATTATCAGTCAATTTTAGTGTTCCTTCTAATACTTGTTCTTCAATTCATGACGGGAAGTGCATGCATCAGAAAAATTGTAATATTTCTTCAGTATCGTCCTCAAGTCAACATCAAGAATCCATTCTACCTATGCCTGTTCAAATTAATCAGGATCTCCTTCATTTCCGACACCCATTCGTCGGTAACACTGCTCTTCATTCTGCCTGTTGTGCAACCAACTCAGGAGAGCAGACCGTGACGAAAACATTTCACCTTGGTTCAGGTTCTTATCCTGGATTTCATTCACCAGAAAATAAACAACTTATATCTCATACACAGTATACTAAAGACTTGTCAGTCAACTCAGTTAATCGTAATGTTTCTCCAGTCTTGGGTAGACAGTTGATTGAATGGCTTATCGATCAAGGTATTGCGGTCTCAGATTGCAATGTTGAGGGACAAACTCCTCTCCACTTAGCTGCTCGTTACGGATATCTTGAGGCAGCTGCTTGTTTGTTACGGCGTGGTGCTGAACCAAACGTTGCGGACTGGCATGGTTTCACACCTTTACACCTGGCTGCTAAATATGGACATTCTCATATCATACAGCTTTTAGTTCAAGGATTTGGCGCAGACTTAAGTTGTACTACTATACCAGGAGGCCATACCGCTGCCTCTTTGGCTTCTACTGAGTGTGTCAGACGTCTTATTGCAGAATTAAGTCTTAGTCCAGTGAATAACACTCTGAGTTCTTCACAAAAATCACCCACTGAAAAACATGTCACTGATTCATCAGCCCACAAGCCTTCAGCGCCAGGTAACTTTTCCATCTTTTATTTGAGTACCAATACTTTTTCCTTTCACTTTCAATTAATAAAGATGTGCTATTTGTCGAGCAAAAACTTAAATCTAAGGGTTGAGTAATAACATTTTATTAATCTCTGAGGCAATTATTTTTTTAGCGTGTTTCAAGCTGTATCTTTTGTATCTCCATTTCATATACCAACTTTGCGCTAAGGTTTGTTACTAATACCTGGTTGTTGAATTAATAGAACTCTGATCTAGCTGGTCAAGAAGAGAGAGATCACAAAGTAATGTCAATGACGAATATTACCCAGTAGCTTTGAATTCTATTATGCAAGGTCAAAATCTCGCAAATCGGATACTACTTCATGATCAGTTGTAACACTGCCAAGAAAACAGTTGTTAAACTTTCCCAAAGAATGTTTCATGAAACTAAAACGTTTAACTGACTCCGATGATCACTAATAATTTTCATGTACATATCCTATTGTACAATACTTGCGTTATGAATCTTCAAATATTTTGCAAAAAAATTGTCTTTAGACGTAAACAACCAATGTTTTCAATACCCACTATTTATTTCGACTAATATTACTGCTTAGTGAAGTCTTTAACATATAAACTGCAATCATGAGTACATGACAGAAGTATATGAGTAGGCTGGAAGAAGGATAAATATAGGCAAACCAAGACATGGCATCAGTTCATCAAGTCACTGACAGTTGAACTTAGCCATGTTAATAGATGCAGACTACCTGGTTGACGTCCACGTGATTATCGTAAACAATAGTTGGGGACTTTGAATGTCATTGCTCAAAATAATTTGTAGTGACGCATGTGCATCTATTCTTTGTATCCTCCAAAATTCCTCATAAATTCTTTGTTTCTATTTCCATAATTTCTATTTTATTCTCGAATCGTATATTCGACGTCAAATCTTTCCCATTACCGCTGATACTATCACTAACTCTACTATTCTGAGATTTGGCCTGACAAATTCACCTCTCTGTGGTAATGAGGTATGGCGATTTGGACCGATGTACATATGTACAGATTTCACGTTGCGGCTGACTGGTTTACATGATAAATCTATTGTTTAATTTCAACTTAAACTTTTTTCTTCTTTTCATTGCACATATCTAAATTTAGATGCAGAGAAAACCCAAAATACGGTTGTTTGTACTCAGCAAGTTATTCCATTTTTAGTTTGTTCTGGATCTCATTCACAGGACAATTCAAACATGTTTTATGACCCCAAATACTCTCAGAAACCTACTCCTAACAATCCTTCGTCTACTAATCGTAGCACCACTACTACTCTTCCGATTTCAAGTACTGATTATGTCTCCCCATCTGGAAGTCACAGCTGGGCGGATATAGTACTACAGTTGTTAGAAGCAGCTAAATCCGGTGATGTAGAAATGGTTCGTCGTCTTATTACAACACATCATTATTCTGTTTGTCCGGACGGTGCTGCAAATGAATTGTGTACTGAATCATCGGAGTCGTGTACTGTTACTGCCCCACTGGATTTAATCAATTGTCGTGATATCGATGGTCGACACTCAACACCTCTCCACTTCGCCGCTGGATATAATAGATTAGCTATCGTAGAATTACTGTTACAGTACAAAGCCGATGTTCATGCTAAAGATAAAGGTGGTTTAGTACCGCTGCATAATGCTTGTTCTTATGGTCATGCTAAGGTAAGGCATCTAAAATTTCATCAGCAAACTTATTTTCAATTTATGCTGATTACAAGTTTCATTGTATATTGATTGGAATTTTGTCATGATTAGCAACTTTAACTAAAAATTATTTGTTATTTCGACTAACAAATTTCGTACAACTGAGTTATTCAACTGGTAATTCTAATGGAAGTGGCTTGGCAGTTGGAATACTGGAATTCCAGTTACATTAATTTGTCAGGTCTCATACTTTTTTATCTCACTAAATCTTGAGTGTGAACATTGTTTCATACAGATGTTCCTCAATTATATCCGTTCTTTTCGAACTACCTTCTCAGTATGTAGTGTTTTACTTATGTGGATATTATGACTATAACTTCTATTTTCGTATTTTTAGTTTCCTCGTGTTGTTTTGTTGTGAAATATGACAGTTTGGACTGATGCATTTTTATACTTCGATCTACGTTTGAGACTGACTGACCGACCGAAGCTGCTACCTTGACGCGGTGGTCGGGCTTGCCTATCGTGATGACCCAACCGAGCTATATTGGCTGGAACATATGTTCCTGTAGGTTCTACCATGCCAGGCAGGTCGATTGGAGAACGGTAAGACTAAAAGCAGCAACTCAAGGTCTGAGGGCGAAGTCGTACTGCTGACTGTAGAGAGGTGTGACAGCAGTAAGGTGTTTCCCTCGGACAACCAGTATCTGCAGCGATGCTTCCTTCCCACAAGGAGGGGTGGGGTTAGAAAAGGTCGACCCTAAAAATGTCACACCTCACCTTACCTCACGGATTTCCGTCTCCGGCGGCAAGGCCCTTTGAAGAACGGAGCTAACACATTAAAAACCTTCCACGAAAAGGCCGTGCGCGACCGGCCTCAAGCAGTTGTCCCTTGGGCTCTGCGATCACGCTCCCAGGCCAACACTAATCCAATTTCCTTTTCAGGTTCCTCAAGAAATACCCTTCCACGATGTGGGCAGCCGGGAAGTGATATCAGCCCTCATACCCGTAACAGCACATCCTTCATACACCTCCTAATACCTCTCTTATCTCCATGACTAAGCCTCCTCACGTCTCTTTATCATCTCGCACCGCCAGGGCAAACGATTCAAGTACGCGGAACGTTATTCCTGGTCTCCTGAAACCACGCTCTAAACTACATGTAGGAGCTTTTAACGTTCGAACACTGTGCCAAATAGGACAGCAGGCTCCCTTAGCTAGGACTTTAGAATCCCGCGCCATCGATGTGTGCTGCGTCTCCGAAACGCGCATACAGGATCCGAGTAGTGTCATTCATCTGACTTCACCATGACAAAATAAAGAACCGACTCGATTCACACTTCGTGTATCTGGAAGCCCTGATTCTGCTTCCCGTGGCCTCGCCGGCGTAGGTGTAGCATTGAGTCCTAGGGCAGAACTAGCTCTTTTAGACTGGATCCCAGTAGACAGCCGTTTGTGCGCTGTCCGACTGAACGGAACAATAAGGACTCGGAAATATAGGCACACTCGTCGTCTCTGCCTACTCTCTCACTGACTGCATCTCAGACGATGTAGAAGATGAGTTTTACAGAAAGCTTCCCGATATTCTCCGAAAAGCTAGGCACTCTGATGTAGTAATAGTGGCTGGTGACTTTAATACTCAATTAGGTAAATTAAGCGATAGTGAAAGACACCTGGGTGGATCTTATAGTGTCGTGGCTCAAAGAACAGATAATGGCGACCGTCTGTTGCAGCTATGCTCAGATAACCGCCTGTTTCTTGCAAATACTAACTTTAAGCATAAGGAAAAACATTTTTTAACATGGAGACCCCCTAATTCGTCCCAACGTTGGACCCAAATAGATCACATCGCTATCAGCCACCGATGGAGGGGCTCGATAGAAGACTGTCGCTCATTCTGGAGCACATGCTTAGACTCAGATCATGCTCTAGTGCGAGCGCGTATCTGTCTGCGTCTTACTGGACGTGGGAAAGACGCTGCAAGGAAACCTCTTAGGGGCTTACTTAATGATAGTCAAGCTAAGATTATATTTCAGGAACAACTAGAAAAAGTTAGGCATCCATGTCAGTGATGCCCACCGCGAGGAAGCATGGAATGATATCCGAAAAGCTGTGGAAACAGCAACGATATCTGCTAGTACGGTAACCCGTAAAGTTAGGGAGAAACACTGGATCTCAGCAGCATCTATCGCACTGATAGATGCTTGAAAACTCATTCCACCTGGCTCTGAACATAATGAAGAACGGAGTCAGCTTAAGCGCAAGCTGACAAGAAGTCTACGCAATGATCGTGAACAGTGGTGGGTAGCGAAAGCAAGAGAGATGGAAAAGGCAGCGGCAATAGGTAATAGCAGACAATTGTTCAGAATTGTTAAGGAAACCGGTATTAGGAAACCGACTGTTAGCGAAACACTCTCAGAAAAAGATGGACGTATTATACATTCTCAATCTAGGAGATTGGATCGATGGGCATAACATTTTAGGGATCAGTTCAACTGGCCTTCAGCCACACTTCGGTTTCCCACGATCTCTAGTCAACCTGAATGGCAAGTTAATGTAAGTCCTCCGTCCCTTGACGAAGTCGAAAAAGCCATAGGAAATCTGAAACGAGGGAGAGCAGCAGGCCCTGACAGTTTTACTCCTGAGATTTTTGAGGATGCTGGTCCAGTATTAGCAATGAGATTAACCGAGGTCTTAGGTAGAATTTGGGAATTGGACGTAATCCCATCTGACTGGTCTCAATCACTGATTGTGCCAGTCTATAAGAAAGGACAAAAGTACTCTTGTGACAATCACAGAGGAATCAGTTTGACTAATACAGTTTCTAAAATATCAGCCTCGATAATTCCTCAACGCCTAATCAAAGCTCGTGAACAACAGACTAGAGAAAATCAGGCTGGTATTCGACCTGGACGTGGTTGTATAGACCACATATTCACACTACGTCAGGTTCTAGAACACAGACACACATTCAGACGCCCCACAATCGTAGTATTTCTCGACCTTAAGGCGGCATTCGAATCTGTAGATCGTAAGGTTCTATGGCAGTGTTTGTCACTGAAAGGAGTACAAAAGAAGTACATTAACCTTATAAAGGCTCTCTACTCGAACACAACTGGTCGAGTGAGAGCTTATGGCGAACTGTCGTCAGAATTGATTTCCTCAAGTGGTGTTCGTCAGGGCTGTCCACTCTCTCCATTCTTGTTCAACTTTGTCGTCGACGTACTTTAAAAGATAACATTTTCCTCGTCTAGATTTCCAGGGGTTGAACTTCTACCGGGAGGTTCACTTGTTGACTTAGAATATGCCGATGACATAGTTTTATTTGGTGAAGAGGCTGACAAAATGCAGTCTTCTGACCACTCTAAGCAACAATGCAAGCACGTTCGGGATGCGATTCTCTCCCTCGAAATGCAAAATGTTGCTTCAGGATTGGGTTGCATTGACACCCGGACTAGTGATAGGGAGTGAAGTAGTTGAGTGTGTCGACCGCTTCACTTATCTTGGACGTCTCATCAGCCGTTGTGGTCTGGTGTGTGACGAAATCTCAGCACGGATACAGAAGGCTTGACTAGCTTTTACAAACTTGCGTCATTTATGGCGTAGGCGAAATATCCGTCTATCAACCAAAGGACGGATTTACTGCGCAGCAGTTCGTTCCGTCCTACTTTATGGCAGTGAAACATGGCCGGTAAGCGTAGAGGATATTCGTAGGTTACTAATATTTGATCATAGGTGTCTTCGAAATATTGCTCGTATATCCTGGGACCATCGAGTAAGTAATGCAGTTGTTAAGAGACGGGTACTAGGTAAGGATGGCAAATCAATTGGTGACGTAGTGAAACTTCATCAGTTGAGATGGCTGGGGCACGTGTTACGTATGCCCAACGACCGACTACCTCGATGTGCTATGTTCATTGGTATAGGAGCGGGTTCGAAGAAAACTAGGGACGGCCAAACCAAAACATGGCACAAGTCCATGAAGTCACTGACAAGTGAACTGAGTCATGTTGGTAGGTGTAGACTACCTGGTTGGGGACCGCGAGATGATAGCAACCGATGGTTAGAGACCCTGAATGACATAGCTCAAAATCGTTTGCAATGGCGCAGGTACATGCACTCTTTGTGTTCTCACTCTATCGTTTGATACTAGACTTGATGTTCACTGCCATGACATGCAGTTTTCCTTAAGGATATTATTAGACGGCATTTCATTTCCCGTAAAATATTAATAAGTGTATTTTTGGCTTATCATTATTATGGTTATTGATGTTAAGTGTATAACCGTTTTATTACTAATCATACAACTTGTTCATGTAGTAAAAAACTAAGTAATAATATGAGTTAGGAATAAAATAGCATAATATGATACATGTTTGTGCTTGTTATCTGATGACATTACACAGAACTAGTAATTGAAACCGTAGTTACAAAATAATGGTTTGGTAACTTCTCCTTTAAAAGGTTGCTGAACTCCTTATTCAACATGGAGCCAATGTTAATGTTACTGACTTGTGGCGTTTCACCCCTCTACACGAGGCTGCGGCTAAGGGCAAGTTCGAGATTTGTCGATTATTGCTCAAACATGGTGCCGATCCGCTGAAAAAGAATCGCGATGGTCATACTCCCATAGATCTGGTTAAAGTATGTATTCATTACATTATAAATCGTTTGTTTGTAATATCTTTATTCTTCACAGTTCAGTGATTTTACTTGAAATACTTCTGTTTTTATATATATATTGATAGTGTACATTGGTTTTTATGACAAAATACCCGGCACACTTCTACTAATCTACTAAATTAAAATATTCACATTTTCCTTGCAGGCATTGGTAGGTGTTATTAACCGTTACTCGTTTTGTTAATTTTTCAGAAAATGAACTGCCTTATTAACACTTGGTCATATTTCATAGATGCTGATCAATGTTTTATATCAACATTTATTTCAAACAACAATAAATTATCAGCCCTCACTTACTGCGTAAAATATTCAATCACCTGTGAAGGAAGCCTTTGGTGGTATATATATACTTACTATTTTGACCATTTCAAATGTCCTAAAAAGTATAATAATATTAAGTTTAAATGATCATATTGTTGAGCTTAATAGTCACATAGTTTTATTTTGTGACAGTATATTAACTGGACCTTAGCTGAATGATTCATTGACAAACTTTTTCTTTATCGTCTTATTAGTAGTCATGCAATCAGAAAAAAAATCAACAATAAAGTAGGATTTCGGTTAAAATTATGACTTTCACTTCATCTGTTTGTTTGGGATAAAGTTCAATTTTACAAAAAGTTTAGTTATATTCTAACGCTGTAGATAAATAATTTTTTTCGAAGATTCTGTTTCATGCTAAATTGATGAATTTCAATTAAAAACATATTTCCATATAAAAGCACAACACAAATGATGAAGTATATAGCTTTTTCACTAGTTATACACTAGGAAATATGGGTAGATATATTTTGTATATAATAATATCTTTTATATATTGACCTTTATTTTTCTAGGATACAGACAGTGATGTTTATGATCTACTACGCGGAGATATTGCCGTTTTAGAAGCAGCTAAGAAAGGGAATTTAACTAAAATAAAACGATTAGTAACTTCAGAAAATATTAATTGTCGTGATACTCAAGGAAGAAATTCAACACCGCTTCATTTAGCTGCAGGCTATAATAATATTGAAGTAAATTATTTTCATTTGAAGATAGAAACATTTAGCTTTGTCTTATATATTCAATTATATTAAATGCATGCATGATTTTTAATATTATTTTGTGTTGTTTCAATGTAATTTACTGAATACTACAACACTTTCATCAACAATCATCTCTTCTAGTTGAGATTCCTAAACTGATCGAACAGTGTATCGGCAACAATTAACTGTATTTATGAAATATTCTGATTGATTGAAATGAGTGTATAGATTAAAGTAAAAAGTTGTCATTGGGTGGTAGCCTTGTTTTCAAAACTTCCAGTAAAATCTATGTGCTCTAAAAAACTTTAAACGCTGTGATAAAACTTATTTAACCTGACGATTTTTCAATACCATTTACACACAACGGTGGTCGAGTACATTCTAAATATGGTTTCGAAAATAATCCGACAAATAAATGGATTATATACAAAGGATACTAATGTAAAATGATCTTCATCGTTGTAAAAAACTGACAGCACTTTTGTATTACACGTATCCACAAAATACTAGTCATAGTACTAAATCGTAGTAACCATACTTCATATCGTGAAAAAGTATTTCTCCGTATTTTTATACTCGTAAGAAATTATCAGATAATAAATTCTCGTTAAATCTTGAAATAAAGTTACTTTAAATCTGAAAACTTACTTGATATTTTAAAATCTTTATTTTTTTTCCAAACGTTAAGACACTAGAATTCTTACTGGAATCAGGAGCCGATGTAAACGCCAAAGACAAAGGTGGTCTAATCCCATTACATAATGCCAGTTCATATGGTCATGTTGATGTAGCTGCACTTCTTATTCGCTATGGAACTTCAGTAAATGCTGTAGACAAATGGGGTTATACACCGTTGCATGAAGCTGCTCAAAAAGGACGAACTCAGTTATGTGCTCTTCTGCTAGCTCATGGAGCAGACCCAAAAATAAGAAATCAAGAAAGTATGTTATATTTTTGTTCAGTTATATTCACTAAGTTTTAGTTATGATATATAAAGTAGTTATCTCTCGTCACTAAAATTGTTGATAAAGGTATTTAGAATTCTATTAAATTCAATACTTTGTTGACATTTGTGTTGCGAAACTATTTTATTAAGTGACTGAGTACTGTAATTGATATGCTTATAATTATTTACAGTTGTACATATACTTGTGTTTTTTTGAGTATTATTATCCCATATTTTTGACTTTCTATTCGCACTTATTTCTTTTGATTTTTCACGGCTGTTTTATATTATTATATCAACTCATTTGCTTCTCCCTGAGAGGTTTCCCCTTTTTATGTTTACACGAAGAGTGGCAGCTGAAACTGATGTTTTATTTTCCGATATCTGTCCATTTGTTCGATGTACGTAGTATGATGCATATAAATTTGCGTGTGTAAACATGTTACTAATTTCGTGTTCGGACTTTACATCTTTCGTCGTGATGTGGTTGGCTACTTAGTTCTGCGCGTCGATCTCTTCACTCGTCTTGGCGCTATTTCAAACTGGATGGGTTAGTACTTGACGGGCTCTTGAATAAATGTTGCTTAACTTTTAGGAAGTTTAGATCAGGAAAGATGGTTTTCTGTTTTAGCTAAAGTCAAGTGTATGAAGCACTGGTTAACTTTTCACTTTCTTGACTAATAAACATGACATACAAAGGTTGAAAATTTGTATAATTTGCTAGTGTTTAGTCGTAGATGTTTCCCACCCGGTTTTTGTGTATGGTGGGACCATCGAGTAAGTAATACTGCCATTAAGTATGAATTACCAGGTAGATGTGGTGAATCAGTTAATTCTCATCGGCTGTGATTATTGGGACATGCGTCTTACATTCCTAACCATTACTTACTTTTATGTATTATCCTTTCTAACATAAATCTAGACTAGGAGAAAGCGAATCCCAACTAGACATGGGACTAGTTCATGAAATTATTTCTAGTTTGAGATCTGCGAGATAATCACATTGATTGGAGACCTTATGTGACATGGCTCAAAAGCGGTTGCAGTGACAAATGTATTAATTATTTATCTCGTAATACTTCAATTTAAATTTATCCATTGTTTTTATTCCTTATTTCCAAGCTCCATTCTCTGTGTTTAGTTTGTTTTGAATACCATTATTCTAATTTCTTTGTTTCCAATTATGATTATTTCCTCTTTCTCTCTCTCTGTGAACTGCTGTAATTTGAGCATTTGGACAATTATGACAGGTTCTGTGTAAATTTACTGTTTCCATAGCACCCTTGAATTGGTCCGTTAATCTGCTTATCTATCATTTTAATAAGCTTTCTTTTTTAAGAAAATCTCATTTAATATTGTTCGTTCATATTTTCTAAGTCATGAATAATGTCATTTGATAAAATTCATATGAAAATCTGTTGATTATGTAATCTGATTATCATTAGGAAATTCTGTGATTTCATTTATCATCATTGATTCAGGCTCATCCAAAACAATGATCAATTTCAAAGATGTTTGTTCACATTCCATCACTTTTATTGACTGAATCATTTCTTCACTTCAACAAAAGAAGCTCATTAATAATGATAATAATAATAATAATAATAATTTTACAGGATAATCTAGAATTGGTAATTATACGCCGTTGAAGTGTACTGTGGTCAAATTAAATCATAAAATCATTACAATCTCAAGTGAATTTTTTAAATGTGACCAACTATTAAATTACACTTTCTGACTTCAGCCCCACTTCGATTTAAGTATTTGAGATGTACCGCTAACGTTTACATAAAATGTATGACTCAAATATAAATACATATACCTGTATTTCATAAATGAGTTTGTAGAAAAAAAGGCAAAACATTCGTTGTTTTTATTATAACTAATGGAGATTAGTAATTAGGTGGTACTATATTATCGATTATAACCATTTATACTGTGTGTATATGCTTATTGTCCAATGAAGGTTTTCATTTATATTAATAATAAGGTAGATAAATATTACAGTTTAAACTGAAACAAGGAAAATTTAGCAAGTAAACGGATATAACATTTAATTCTTGTTTGTTTGTTCGTTCGTCGTTTATATATATATATATATATATATATATATATATATATATATAGTTTACCCGTTAACTACCTTTATACCTGTCATTCTGTTTTATCCGCTCTATACCTTATTCTTCTATATTAATTTCTTTAAAATAGGAATCAATTAATCCAGCTTGGCTATTATTCATTAAAAAGCAGTGACTAAACAACAACTTCACAGTAATCTTCAGATGATATCAGTTTTTGCCACTATTCACCAGGTGTCATAGTATGATGCATTGACCTTCTTGAATGTAACTTTCTTTACCTCTTTACTTCGAAATATTGTACGATTTCTTGAACTCTTCACATCGAAATGACTTTTGACACAACCATCCTTTGGGTAGTGAAATACCATAACCTCTTCACTTGTGTTTTTATTCACAGCAAAGAAGGTCGACTGATATGCTACTAGCACTTTGCTAAAGTTAGAAACATTATATTCACGCTACAGAATTCCAAACGGTGAATTCTAATTCTAATAGTTTCCTGGCCAGATAAAGTTAATCACATCACATTTTCGAGATCATATTTTCTCCACGCAATCCAAATTATGTTGGGTGCTAGTAAATATTCTGGACAAAAAACTCCTAGATTCATGTTTCGTGCTTGTTGATACTCGTCGCTAAAGCGTTCTTGCAGTCTTGAGTAAACTGTTGCTCCCTGTGTGATTCGAACCCAGCTTCTAAGTTGGGGACAATACCTCTGAGCCCTTCGGGTCGCGACTGATGTCCTATGGGACAGATATTGACAATTGAGCGGTCACTGATTAGTGATTGATAACATATTTCTCTAATCCTTTTGTGCGGATCGAATTCTATCGATCAATATTGCATTTTGCACTGTGTCATCATCAGTCAAAACACCAATAAATTCTCAGAACGCTTGTTTTTCCGATTTTTTGAGCCTGGGTTAGAAATTATTTTTCAATGATACATTCTTGTGTTATTGAATCTAGTTTTCAAATCACGTGTCAGAAGAAATTGCGTTACACCTTAGTTCCACAATTAAAATACATTGTTTCCTAATCATTTGACCTGAATAAGTCAGAACTGTATTCCTTTTAATCAATATTGTAAATTGTTAGACTGTGCGCCTATTGTTTAATTTAGCACCATGAAACTCTCAGTTGCTAATTCTCAATTTTGTGTTAAACTTTTCTATAAAACTCCCTGTTTTTCTGCATCACACTCGGTCGGGGTTATTTAGTGTGGCTCATAGTTCGCTGTATCTGTTTGGTTAGTAACTGGATTATTTTACTTTTATTTCATACAACAATTCCTCATAACAAACTATGTTTTTTTCCAGATCAAACACCTTTCGAACTAGCGACAGCTGATGACGTTAAATCTTTGCTATTGGATGTAATGCTTCATACGACTGCATGTATTACAACAGTCTCAAAGGAAAATGTTCTTTCATCGTCGTTCAATTCTACTACCTTACCTACATCTAACTTGGACACATCCTCACCTCAGCAAACATCTTTTAGTAATCTGTTACCATCTATGTCCATCGGTCCACGAATTGAGTGTCAAGGTCGCGAGTCTAATTTACCGGGACCAATTGTCCCATCTGCAAATATTTCAAACCCAGTCTGTTCATCAAATACGGCTTTGGTTAAGTTGAATAACTCAAGCTGTCCAGGTAATGGTAAACTAACGACGGCAAATTTTCTTATGTCCCTCGGTTTGGGTCAGTTGGTCGAATTATTCGAAAAGGAATTAGTGAGTGAATTAACTAAAGTCCTAATCATGAAATTTAACCTATTACGATTGTACACTTATTTTGTAATCATTGATTCATATAGTTATGTAATACTGTGTTGAATTTAACGAGTTTGTATCAGTTAGTCACCTTTACGTTATACATATAGAAACATGAAATAAGATAGGTTCTCCATTAAGCTGTATCAGTCAGTCATTAAGTTAAAACGTAGAACCTGTACATATGTACACCGGTCCAAATCGCCATACCTCATTACCACAGAGAGGTGAATTTGTCAGGCCAAATCTCAGAATAGTAGAGTTAGTGATAGTATCAGTGGTAATGGGAAAGATTTGACATCGAATATACGATTCGAGAATAAAATAGAAATTATGGAAATAGAAACAAAGAATTTATGAGAAATTTTGGGGAATACAAAGAATAGATGCACATGCGTCACTACAAATTATTTTGAGCAATGACATTCAAAGTCCCCAACTATTGTTTACGATAATAACGTGGACGTCAACCAGGTAGTCTGCATCTATTAACATGGCTAAGTTCAACTGTCAGTGACTTGATGAACTGATGCCATGTCTTGGTTTGCCTATATTTATCCTTCTTCCAGCTTACTCCTATACTAGAAAAGATCGTCCGTTGAGGTAGGCAGTGGTTTGTGATAAGTAACACATGTCCCAGTCACCCAAATTGATGAAGATTTACTAGCTCATCAATCGACTTGTTGTCTTTACCTTGTTTTCTACTCTTAACTTAGACATTGCTTACTTCGTGGTTCCAAAATACAGGAGGAACACTTCGAAGACACCTATGATCGAATACCAGTAACTTACAAATATCGTTGGTAAATGCCAATCGAGGTTTTTGATACCGTGTCGATATTTCGTCAGACACCAGACTGTCAGGACTGATGGGACTCCTAATATAAGTGAAGCGATCAATGTGTTCAATTACTTCACTCCCTATCACTAAGTCAGGCGATTACCCAAGCCACTCCCTCAGTAACATTTCATACTTAGAGGGAGAGAACCGCATCTCAATCATGCTTGTATTTTAGCTTAAGGTGATCAAAGGATTCTGCATCTTGTCAGTGTCTTCTTCAAACATAAATATATCATCTGAGTATTCCAAGTCAACGAGTGAATCTTCCAGTAGAAGACCAACTCCTGAAAAGTGAGACGATGGAAGTCTGAAATTTAAAAGCATTTCCTTGACACCTTACTTACGCCTGTTACCCCTCATGGAGGAGCGTAGTTCGCTCACCAACAGTCTCCACCCAACTTTGTCCTGGGCGATCCTCTTCAGTTGTTCACAGTTGCTATTGATCCTTTTCACGTCTGCTCCCAATTCTCGGCAAGTGTGTTTTTTGGCCTTCCTCTTTTCCATTTCCTTTCAGCACTCAATGTTAGGGCTTGCTTCGTGATGCATATCTTATCTACTTCCAGCGTCTTTTCCTGATTTCCTCTTCAGCTAGAAGCTGGTTTGTCCTTTCCCACAGTAGTCTGTTGCTGATGGTATCCGGTCAACGGACATGCAGTATCTTGTGTAAACTACTATCCATAAGTACCTGTACGTTTTTGACGGTGTTTGTAATAGTTCTCCATGTTTCAGCCCTGTGCAGAACTGTCTTGACGTTTATATCGAAGACTCTTACTTCGATGTTGGTTGAGAGTTGTTTTTAGTTCAGAATGCTTGACTATGGCGGCGGAAATCCGTAAAATAAAGTAAGGTGTAGCATGTCTAGGGTCCACCTTCTCTAACCGCTTCCCTCCGTTGTGAGAAGGCGCCTTAAATTGCTGCTTTCAGTCATACCGCTTCTCAACCGACCTGTCTGTCATGGTAGACCCTAAGGAACCTGTGTTCCGGGCAATATAGCTCGGTTGAGTTATTACAGCAGACAAGCCTGACCATCACGTCAAGGTAGCAACTAAGATCTCAATTAGGCTGTATACTTGTGTATATTTAGAAAGTAGAAAACGGTTTAAAAATATATAGTTACATATAATCCTGTCTTAGATTGGGATAAAACTAAAAAAACGCAATATAAGTCCGCTACGTTACTGATTTTTGGTTAGAGCCATTTTAGTGGATGCTGATTAGCCGGTTGTGGTTCACGCTATCAGTAACTGTAAACCTTTTTGATATGACTCGTAATCGATCAGATTAGTGTAGATTTATTTACCTTTTGTTACACTTAGCAAACTTACTAGTAATAATTATCATTTTCTTGATCCCGTTAGTCGCGTTAGTAAATACAGAATTTTGTCTTACAATTTACAGCATCTTGACGTATTACTCTGAACTTACGATGAGATATACTTCCTTATGTTTTGATTTCTTTCACGTTTTTTTTATTACAGCAAAATTAAGTCCACTCCCATCTATATACTCACTTTTTTAGTGTGGTTTTGTTTCATAGGGATCGATATTTTTACTTTTTACCAGGTAACAATGGATATACTTTTAGAAATGGGTCACGAAGAGCTGAAAGAACTTGGTGTAACTGTTTATGGGCATCGTCATAAAATTATCAAAGGCGTACAGAAATGGCGCTCTAATTGTACAACACAACAGTCCCCATTAGATCCCAGTAATGATACTCGCAAATCATCAAGCACCTTATACCCTTCCCCTAGTCTACATTCTACAAGTCCAATAACAACTCATTTTCATGGCGTTGGTGTAGCTGAAGCCACTCCAACTGGTCCTGCCTATTTTCCTGCAGCAGCGGCTAAAAACACTGTGATGATAGAAATCGATTGTACAGATTCAGAATTCTTAGCTGTTGAGGAACAGGTAAAATTAAGTAACATAGTGTGATTATTTCAGAATTTATCAGTCTTTTTATCATTTAATTTAGAGTTAGTCTTTATTACCATGATTTTATGTGTAATTTTCTTCACTAGAAATTATTTATAATTTTTGTTATCTACCAGTGTCGGCAAACCTTATGGATAATATTCTTAGCGTTACGAAACATGTTTGTTTCTATTAATTAAAATGTAGTTGTCAAGCTGGTGATGCTCCTATATCATTATTTCTTAGCATACTTTGTGAGATATTAATTCACTCCAAGTGGATCCCTTGCATCCAGAAAATTTTTTATTACTTATGTCTTTGCAGAACCGTGGTTTAACGATTTTTGATATACCTTTTTGAGCTACTTGTTTTACATTCCAGCCATTTAAATGGAACCATTAGTGGTTTGAATTCATTATTGTTATTACTATTATTATTACACTACCTTACACTAATCTGTGGTCGTTATTGTTCTTCTCTTTCTTTCTTTTACGCTCCTTACCTTCTTTTTTCTCTTCTCATTCTCATTGTTTTGTGTGGCGCATATATATTTGGTGCTGCCTTGTACCAATATTTATGTGTTCAAATAAATAAACTAATGTTTGACTAATTTTTTTCGATTGTCTTACTTTTTCGAGCGTGGATATGACCGTCTGTTGTCAGTCATAAAATACAGTAAGACTTTACATAAAGTACATTGACATTAAAATAGTTTTCTTATAAATATGTGTAATGATTATGATTAACGTTTATTCTTTGTTGAATATATTTTCTTAAATTCTTTCCTTTTACTCATAGATTCAGAGCACAATAAGAGAACATAAAGATAACTGTGGTGGGATTTACAAACGATATCGTATACTAAAAGTTGCAAGAATTAGAAATAAACGTCTATGGGATCGTTATCTACACCGGTGTGCCGAAATCGCTGAAGATAATTCTGGGCATTATAACGAAAGACTTCTATTTCATGGATCCCCGTTTTTACAGTCTATCGTTATGAAGGGGTTTGATGAACGCTATGCATATATTGGTGGAATGTTTGGAGCTGGTATATATTTCGCAGAGAACTCATCTAAATCGAATCAGGTAAATGTTTATAAAAAATTTCGTCTCCATTTGTTAGTGACATTTTTGTATTATTATTTAAACACATAAACATTGGAACAAGGAGGCACCAAATAAATATGCGCCACACAAATAATTCAATTTGTGTGGATGTTGGGATACTGCCCGGGTACCCAAGCCGAGGCAAGTGGTTTTCTTAGGGGGCCCCACCGCGAGCCTTTGACCAAAAGGTCTAATCCACAAAGCAGTAGAGCAGAGGAGATTCAGTCCCATAGTAACCAGTGACCAATAATAGGTTCATACGCCGTCTGTTTCTGTAGGATACTGGAGCCCATGTGCACCATTTATTTAGAATCAGGGTTTTCCAACTCCCCTACGTGGACTTTCCGTGTCCACCAACCCGATTAAAGCACTGGACATTCGCTTTTCTTCCTCTTAATTTCGTAAACAACACCCCCGCTGTGAGAAGGCATTGAGTAGAACTTCCCTGGCAGTGGTTGTGTGCACATGGCCACTTAAGAGCACTTCCAGAGGGAGAGCTGAATCTCCCCACTCTCGGCCGTACAAGAGCATAGGGGAGCACATTTTTGCATGTGTTCTGGTTTTGCTAGTATGTATTTGCCGTAAAACAAACTGATTTTCTTGGAAGTATCATCTTATGCGATCTTGACGTAATCAATCGGTTCGTCTCGTTAGTGAAGTTCCAAACATGCTATCTGATAGATAAGTTTTGAGTGCTTTAATATTTGAGCTACTGAATATATTGAGACTCGAATAGTTCGACTTTCATACTTCAATTGGTCAGTAGCCAGTGTTTATTGATGAACATTATGTTGGTTTTATTACATTTGGTAACGAATGGAAAACTATTTGACACTCACATTGTGAAAGTATTTAGTTTTATCACTATACCATAGCAAACATCTTCGATCACAACGATCTGTGATTTTTAATTAACATTTGGTGGTGAGGAATATGAATATATTGTTTATTCTCCTACAATTCATCGAATATAAAAACCAATATATACTCTCAATTCAAAGTACAAAAAATATCTTTAAGGACGAGTCCTTAAACCTCTCACGCTATTTCTTTTTTGTTTGTTTACATAGAATTGATATTTTTACACTGTTTTAAGTAATAAATTATTATGAAAACACTTTAACAACATTAAAATAGTCATCCTAATTTCTCGTTTTTTTAAATTTTATTTATACTAATCAGTATACACACTCTGAAGCTAGTCATTGTCATCCCTTTGAACACACTTGAATTTAGTAAATATTAAGTTTAAATAAAGCAAGATCATGGTTCCCGAAATGAAATAAATTCATTTTATCTCAAGATTTCTTGTTAGCTAGAATTACCCTCAAATCAAAAATAATAATATGTTTACTACAATGTTTTGAAACGCTTTAGACAATGAGGTTAAACCGAGTGTTCCCCATTTTACATTAACTTATAAACACTAAAGAATGGCACATTGCACATAGTGTTTGACATTGATCCATATTTGTGTGTTGAATATCATGTCATGTAAAGTAGAGCAGTGTACAACTGATGAGAATTTATGAACTAGAGTGACTTCAGTTTATCCAACGAATCTTATTTTTTGTGCTTTGTTCAAATTTATTGATGGACTGTATAAAATTTTTGGATTTTTCGATAATTATAGTTTACAACAGTAATCACTATTTCACTTAAACAAAGAATAACTCGCAAAAATATCAATGAACAAAGTAAAACTGAGTTAGTTCCATAATGATACAAGAAATGAATATGTCGCCATCACTTGAAGTATTTCTGAAATTAAGACATGTCTGTTCATTACCGTAAACATTGACAGACAGTAACAACGTAGAACTTCGTATGTACGTACATCAGTTCGAGTTGCCATACCACATTAGCACACAGATACAATTATCAATTCAAATCCCGTAGTGGAAGAGGTAGTAAGAGTATAAGTAGTAGTCGGGAAGATTAAGGTGCGAAGATGTTATTCAAGGAGTATAACCCAGTGAAATAAATTTGGAAAGAGAAAAAAGAAAGGGACATGAAGAATTCAGAAGATTAGAATTTGGGAGAACACAGAGAGTTGATGCACCTGCACCATTGCCAACAATTTTAAGCCATGTCATTCAAGGTCTCTAACCATCGGTTGCTATCATCTCACGGATCCCAACCAGGTAGTCTACACCTAACAACATGGCTTAATCCACTTGTCAGTGACTTCATGGATTTGTGCCATGTTTTGATCTAGCCGCCCCTGGCTTTCTTCCAACGACTGAGTTACAAGCTCAAAATTAATTTATTCATTTTGATACTGTACCTTGTCATTAAGCGGTGCGTGTTTACGACTTTGCATATTTATTTTTATACCCCGTCGCGTACGTAATTGTCACAATCCTAATTCATGCATGTGTATATCCACATTATGTACACTCATCATGTGATTCATTAGTTGTTGTCACAACAGTTACTCTAAATACTACTTTCCCCAAGTTTATGTTTCTTGATGTTAACATCTCGACTCTTTTTAGTAAAAAAGTATACACCACCAAGCTATGAACTTAGTCACTGCTGTGCAACTGAGATCCCTTTTAAGTGTGACAAATATTATGTCGAGCCTTGCCTGTCACATTATCATTTTTGTAACCAAGATGTGTCATATTTTTTATACAACCATCAATCAAGGCAATTTTCGTATTAACTGGCCTCCACTCAAAAGTTAGGAATAGGCCTAAAATACATTCGTTAATTACCAATCTTAAAAACGTGGATAAGACCTTGAAAACTTGTTTAGATACAATATGTCACGAAAGTTAGTTACATAGGTAATCAATATTTAATGCTTTAAATACGTAATCTTCTACAGCTTACGCATTATTTGCTTCCAAGTGAATATGTCCATTTTCCATCCTAGTAATTACTTTTCCTATCATAAATTCAAGATTATTTATTTAGCTTATCATTATCTTTTTTAGTATGTATATGGAATTGGTGGAGGAGCCGGTTGCCCAGCTCACAAATCTCGTTCATGTTACATTTGTCCACGCCAGTTGTTATTATGTCGCGTTGCTTTAGGACGGTCATTCATTCAGTTCAATGCCATGAAAGTAGCTCATGCACCCCCGGGCCACCATTCAATTGTTGGTCGACCAAGCGCAGGTGGACTCAATTTCTCTGAGTATGTCATATACAGAGGTGAACAAGCCTATCCTGAATATCTCATCACTTATTTGTTAGTCCCACCTGATCCAAATGATAATGAAAATATGACTGATCAAAATCTACCAAATCCTCTTACTCATAATACAAATATTGGACTTCTACCACCCACTAGTAACAGTGGTATCACTAGTATATCATCTAATGTTGGTGTGGCTGTAAACTCAGTACCCTGTTACACTGTGCCTTCAAACCAAAAAAATATTGTAACGAGTTCCTGTGATTCATCTTGTGTACAAACGCCTGTTCAGTCTCTGAAACTGCCTGTTGCAAATACTGCTACTTCTGGTTCTCTGGTTACAAGTGTAGCGCCAGCTGATAGACAGTTGTCAGATCCTCTTTCTTCTATTGCATCTACAACCCTAACCTCCTCTGCTCCAGGAGGTCCAAGTTGCCATTCAATCCCCTAACTATGTTTTCACACTATTTTATACTTTGCATTCTATAGTAGAACCTTTTTGACTTAGACTACACATAAACTATAGTTGATTTCTTGTTAGATTTAATTAATTATTCTTTGCCTCTTCCCTTCAATTCCTTATATCTTTCACAAACATAAACACCGTCCTTCTGTTTTGCAAAAGTGATTTAAAACCGGTCGGTTTCTGTACAAAGTACCTAATTTATTTAATAATTGACTTACATAACTTTGTATATTTGCATGAAACTAAAGAGCTTCATCTAGTAATAAAAATGATCACAAATGTGAGTAAATTATCTACGATAAAATGTTTACCATGCTTTTATAATAAAAATTTATTTCCCAATGATCACTTGAATGTCTGTCACTATTAATTAATAAAACTGTGCACATCTTTTTTCTTCTAATTTGAAAGTATGCTTATCTCCTTCTTCAGCTCATCTGTCTAAAACGTTGTCAATACCATGACACATATCTTTGATAAATAGATAAGATTTCGGCTGATAATCTGGTTTATCAAGATATAGTCCGCTGATCGCCAAAGGAATGGGATAAAATACTGACTCATGCTTAATATACAGTCTGTTAATAGTTGTTATATAGGTAGGTAGATAGTTAAGGTGATTCTTAGATTACGAGTCACTCGAATCCTATAACTATATTTTAGAAATAGTGAATCGCTTCCGGTAGTAATTGTTGTGTCCTTATGTCACTTAACAATATTAACTGATAAGTCTGCTGAATGACCGCCGCTTCTAATAACTCCCTGGCTCAATGTGCACGGCAACATGAACTTAAGAGAAAATGTGAGAAGTTCGAAAAGAACGCTTTATTACAAGGTTAGTTTATGTACAGAAAAACGAGACTATTTATCGAGTTACACACGATCTTTGTTTTCTGGGACCATACGAAATATAGTAGTATATGTAGATATTCAATCAGGAACGTGACTTTTCCTAGATGTTTCTAAGAAGCTTCTATTCGATGCCCGCAAGCGTTTTCTGGGTATTTTCGAACCGTCAGAGGTTAATAGTGTAACCTCTGTATGGGTAGTAGGCTAGCAGGTAATTTGCTTTGTTGATTAAGTCTTAACTTATATTGTCTTGTAAACTTATGTGGGGAATTATAAAGGACGTAATCCTGGCTAACGTGACTTAATATACGACAAATGGTCGTCCGTTTGGTTGTAAGACTACACGATACGATAAGAATTCAAAGGAGTCATTCGATACTTCTGACGGACCGTGTAACCATAATTAGTCTTAAAAGGACTAAAAAACTAGTGTGGCGTGCAAAATTACTGTTCGGAATAAATTTTAAGGTCGCTCAGTCAGTCATCTACAACATAGGACCAGGCACATATATGCATCCGTCCAAGTTGCCGTACCTCAATAACAGAAGTGGATCTTAGCCAATGGTCCTCCTAACCATTGTTTGGTATCCAATATCTGTTTGATTCTATTGTAGTTTAACTCACCAGTATTTTACCTGAAATTAATCCATATGATTTATATCAATATTGAACGTGTAAATGAGGCTCTTTGTAAACACAGATACAATTCGGTTGTCATTTACTAAATCACTTGGTATTATGTCGCATACTGTGGACGCCCGACTGATAAGGAATATTGCCTAATTACTCGACATATTACTGATATTCTGTCAACCTCTGTGACGATAGTTAATGTATTGTCAGCACATTTATAGAAAATCTGAGTCCTGCCGAGCAAGATTCCATTCCTTTACAGAACATAATGTCAATATGATATGAAGCACTGTTTCGGTACGCCTTAATTCTTGACTTATGGTTGTTAAGAGTAGTCTACACAAAAAGCTATGAATATTCGCTCATGAGCGTTTTGGTAACATTACATTTTAGCAGATAGACCATATGTTGAATAGTGCTGAACTCATATTAAGGCTTTCAGAATAAAAAAGCATTCTATAAGACTGAGAAAAGAATTATCATATCATGACACCGTACTATTTTATAGTGGTGCTAACCCTCAGAATCAGCTGTGTATGTTTTCAGGTTGTAAGTCTTTAAGCAAGGGATTTTTCGGTGTTACCATAGCCGTGTTTTTATTTCAGCTAATTTTACTATTTAATAAATTTGTGTTCTCTCCATATTTTAAGTAAAATCTTTTCTCAAAGAACTTTCCTCAGATATGAGATAAGTGTCAAAGATAAAAGGACAATTAACTAAAAACACTCACATATTTATTGTTTTGTAAGAATTAAATGGACTAAGATTATTTTGTATTGTTTGTTTGAATCTTTTCACTGACGTTTAGAACCGCAGTTAATCAATCTGCTATTGGCGTATGTCCATCTTGTGCAGATTACCTCGATGTTGCCTTAAGTCACAAGCATTATAAGGAGAGATGGATGCTGGCCAGAAGTGGAATCCAAGATGTGCGTTTAGTCCCTGAGTCGGTGTTCTCTCTTGGAATTGAACTAAGTTTATATATCTATGAGCAATAGTAATCATAATCGAGTGCGTATACAATTGTTCCAATTACTTTCTCCATAGATACAGTATACAAGAAAAACTCACACTTCCCACTTTTAAGTACAGTAGTAAGAAACAATAAAAGCAAATTAAATTCAGCACAAAATATTATATTAAGTTCGTTTTACTAAAAAGAAGAAACCAGTAAGCACAGTCTTCTAATGGATCAATTCCAAATATATATATATATATTATGATCTTCATATCTGTGATGGATTTTAACTAGCTGTCGTCAATTATTTTGTTTATCCACGTACGCACTTCACTCACTGTAGCAGTTACGTTATCTTCGAATTTCTATTTATGTTGGAATTTTTTAAAATAAAATAGAAATTTCGGAAAAATAAATTGTGATTTCTGGATTTATATATATATATATATATATATATATATATATATATATATATATATATATATATATGTGCACAGGCTCTTTTATTTTATCTTCTTTACAGAATCAAAAAATATACAAACTTATCGAATCAGTTAGATTTGGCTTATTTTTCACTTCAGTAATTCCGTATGATTGTGATATAACAATTATTAGCAGTGTTTCTCAGGGACGCTTATTGTCAGGTAGTCTTATTGTGGTGTGTGCTACTTACATTGACATAAGTAGTATATGATGGTAGTCGTGAACAGAAGGTCTGGCAGCAGAGAGACAAGAGGATCGCACAGTAAAGAATGGGAACAGAATGCAATTTGTATGAAAATGCAAGAACAATAAAGTCTGAGTCATTTTGAGACAATTGATGGAAATTTTGCAAATTACGTATTTACTATTTGATTGTTAGATTTTATTAACAAGTCCTGTAATTTTGAGTCAAATACATTCGATTGACCCCACTCGTGTTCTGTTCACTACATTATTACCTATCCACTTTGCTACTTGTCTAGATTTTAGCTCGGCTTTTTTCTTTTGAATAATTTAAGATATCCCGTCTGAGTCTTTTTTTCTACATGATTGGTAGTATGACCGTGCAAAATCAATCATTTCTTTATTTAAATTATTAAGATCAATAAGTATCCTAGTGAGGATAAAACTTTCGACTACGCAAAGAGGTTTTATGAATTACAGAGATTTCCTAACAGAAGAATATCGTAATTAGTTATTTCCTGTTTTCAATAAGTCAACCGGAATCCTATCTGAATTAAGTCTTCAGGAATAACGCCAAGAAACTAAAGCCACTCCTGAATTATTCAGTTGACTTCACCACCTCATTTTCACTTCAGTCTCTCATTTCAGTCAGTCAGTCAGTCAGTAACAACGTAGAACTTCGTACGTACGTACATCAGTTCGAGTTGCCACACCACATTAGCACAGAGATGCAGTGGTCGATTCAAATCCCGTAGTGGTAGAGGTAGCAAGAGTATAAGCAGTAATCGGGAAGATTAGGGTTTGGAGATGTTATTTAAAGAGTATAATCCAGTGAAAGAAATTTGGAAAGAGGGAAAAAGGGACATGAAGAATTCAGAAGATTAGAGTTTTGGAGAACACAGAGAGTGGATGCACCTGCGCCATTGCGAACGATTTTGAGCTATGTCATTCAGGGTCTCTAACCATCGGTTGCTGTCATCTCGCGGTCCCCAACCAGGTAGTCTACACCTACCAACATGACTCAGTTCACTTGTCAGTGACTTCATGGACTTGTGCCATGTTTTGGTTTGGCCGCCCCTAGCTTTCTTCCAACCTACTCCTATACCACTGAACATAGCACGTCGAGGCAGTCGGTCGTTGGGCATACGTAACACGTGTCCCAGCCATCTCAACTGATGAAGTTTCACTACGTCATCAATTGATTTGCCATCCTTACCTAGTACCCGTTTCCTAACAACTGCATTACTTACTCAGTGGTCCCATGATATACGAGCAATGTTTCGAAGACACCTATGATCGAATACTAGTAACCTACGGATATCCTCTACTCTTATCGGCCATGTTTCACTGCCATAAAGTAGGACGGAACGAACTGCTGCGCAGTAAACACGTCCTTTGGTTGATAGACGGATATCTCGCCTACGCCATAAATGACGCAAGTTGGCAAAAGCTAGTCGAGCCTTCTGTATCCGTGCTGAGATTTCGTCACACACCAAACCACAAGGGCTGATGAGACTTCCAAGATAAGTGAAGCGGTCGACACACTCAACTACTTCACTCCCTATCACTAGTTCGGGTGTCGATGTAACCCAATCCTGAAGCAACATTTTGCATTTCGAGGGAGAGAATCGCATCCCGAACATGCTTGCATTGTTGCTTAGAGTGGTCAGAAGACTCTGCATTTTGTCAGCGTCTTCACCAAATAAAACTATGTCATCTGCATATTCTAAGTCAACAAGTGAACCTCCTGGTAGAAGTTCAACCCCTGTAAATTTAGATGAGGAGAGTGTTATCTCTAAAAGTATGTCAATGACAAAGTTGAACAAGAATGGGGAGAGTGGACAGCCCTGACGAACACCACTTGAGGTGATCAATTCTGATGACAGTTCGCCATAAGCTCTCACTCGACCAGTTGTGTTCGAGTAGAGAGCCTTTATAAGGTTAATGTACTTCTTTGGTACTCCTTTCAGTGACAAACACTGCCATAGTACCTCACGATCAACGGAGTCGAATGCCGCCTTAAGGTCGAGAAATACTACGATTGTGGGGCGTCTGAATGTGTGTCTGTGTTCTAGAACCTGACGTAGTGTAGTCTCTCATTTCATGTGTCATTAAACGAGAAAAAGACAACCATTTCAATAAGAACACAAAATATTCCTAAGGTTTTTCTATTTTCCAGCTTTGGTCTTATTTCAGAAGCCACAAAATATGTAGAAAAACCAATCGACTAATAGAAATGGTTCGCAATTTCAAAGTAAATATGGCGTTATCCAACACAGTGAAATACCTGTCACACGACAATCAATTGAATCTAATTTAGTCTAAGTAAATGTGGCTTCTAATTTAGCGTGTCGACCAAGTCATTAAACGTTGACAATGCTGACAACTTGGGTATTTGGCTGTGATGATAAATGCGTCTCAGTGTTCCTTTGTGATGACTAATGCAACTACAGAAAACCCATATTGAAACGAATTTTCTGTATTGAACTGGATACGATAAATGTTCTCTTCATAAAATACTATTGACAATCAAACATACATTGGAAACGGATGTCTCAAAGTGCATATAACAAGTTTATTATTTTACAGAAAAGGAAGACTGGTGAAGAAAGTAAATTCGTATGTGTTAATACTAATATTTCTCAACAGCTGTTTGAAGAAATGAGCCGAAGAAAATATATACATCTAGGTACATTGTATATCATTCCCCTTCACCAGTTTGACTTAAGAACTCATTTTATTATGAGTACTTCGGATTCAAAATCCATTAGCTTTATAACAATAACCTTTCTTTCTATAATAAACGTGTATATTGACGACTTCGTACTATCTTATGCACTAATTCCATATAACATATGTCAGTCATTAATTGACAACTAATTACACTAACAAAGTAGAATTATTTGTGACCACTGAAAGTAGGCGAATACAAACCGTCGTCTATAAAATATATATATCAAAACTAAATAATATCAGAAATTTATTTTATCAATGATTTCATCATCATTTTATTCGAATTTCACATTGTGTAACTGTTTTGTACTTTGTATCGACAGACTGTAATCCTAATCTATTAATTAATTTTATTATAATCAGTCGGTTATTATTTGAATGTATCTATACATGTATCACATGACTGTATCATCTAACATCTAGATAATACTAATTTATTATTACACATTCTATTATGATAAATAGGTCTATAATGATAATAAAGAATTTCACTCAATAAATTTCCTTACATCATAGTTCCATTTTAATTAAGGGCTTAATGATAAATTTAAAAAAAACGATCCTAATTTGACATTTCCTTTTTAGTTCCATTCAGTCATATTGAACACTTTTCTTTTAAATATTTTTGTCTATGGAACAATATACACATGAATACTAATTAATACAATAATTATCTTTTTTTTCTTATGAAAAAGTATCAAATATGAACAGTGATCAATTAGATGGTAATTAACATATTAACTAACTGATAATCAATCAATTAAATTATTGAAATAAATTTAAAATTTTAATTGTCAATAAGATTCAAAGAGATTGATCGATAAATTCTAAAGTTTCATTGAAGAAAAAATAGTTTTTGAATTAGATTTTCAAAAAAAATTAAATGAATGTTAGTAATATGATATTGTTTTGTTTGAGGAAGAAGTACCTTAACAGACATGTAGTTTTAATTATTTTTTCTATATTGATATTGACAGTTGTCTTCGCTCACATATTTCTTCTTTTGTATAAGGTCTAAGTCTTTAATTAAATATTTATGACCTAATGGCAATAATGAAGCTGTCAGTTAAGGATTCACATATTCCAAAAGAGACTAATCGAAACTCAGGCTTTAAAATCAGAAACAGACTGATTTACATAAGTAAAAAATAAAATTCATCCCTGTCCCACAAGCCCTTGGCTCATCATCTGGATCTACTTGGATCTTAGTGTTGATTTTTATTAAGGCATTGATTTGAGACTCTTAACGTCAATAACATGAAGATTCAAACACTGTGTCTGTCTAAACTCGGTAGATAAGAGGATGACACATTAGAGTTTGAGATCAAAGGTACTATGTTTGAGTCCTGGTTTGACTTAAACACTAAGATGCAGGTACATCCAGTAGACGATATCCAAATAGGATCCTAGATCCCGTTGCCAGTTATGAGCCGTGTTTACTAAAATGTGTCGCTGTAATCCTTAATAATTCGTTTACATTTTCATATAATTAACCTTCTAACATGTATAGGTATCATTACCAAGGTTTGATTTGATAATTTCGAATAAGTTGAGTATTGGGTAGATTGTTATAAATAAATAATATATTTTTAATATCCCAATGAGTAGAAAATTGGATTTTCTGACGTTTCGTGACTTAGTATAGCTCCCTTCTTCAGAGAATAAATATTCAAATTAAAATTAATCCAAGAAGTGACTTACACTAAGTCACGAAACGTCAGAAAATCTAATTTTTTACTCATCGGGATATTACAGATATATTATTTATTCTAAGACGTATACTTATGTATGATTGTATATATGTGCTAGCCTACAGTTATCCTGTGGGATTGTTTATAAAGTATGAGAATAAATACTCAAATACCCACTACTTATCCAACTCGAAAAAACCTTGTTGTGGTGAAGTTCATTACTGTTGTTCCTACAACGTATGGGCGATAGTGTTGATGGTTCTACAAATAATGTCTGACTTTCATCACCTGGCAGATTGTTTAGCAGAAGACATCCGCCACTGTTCAAAATTTATCATTATAACTGAATTACAAATCAGAAACCTGGTTTCTCTATTTTGGAAATATAGTAAGGGATAAACAAAAAAGCACTTATATTGAATAAAGTTTATAACAAATATTAGTTCGACACATACTGACTTACCGGTAGTTTTGGTGGGTTATCAATCTCATTAAATGGTGTTCTAAATGAAGGTGTGTAATCAAGTGATTTTATATAACATTTCGGAGCATATTGTACTGAAGTGATAAAGTCTGTACTCTGTACTTGATTAACCAGAAAACAAACTTCATTCTCTATGGAAGAACAACTGTGAACTAGATCACGATTTGGTGTTAAGGCCACTGGTGCTGATATCCAATGAGCTGGAGGGGTATCAATGCAACTCTAATAAAATAAGCAAAAATCAATTTTTTCAGCAAACTCATACACTTTGTACCACATATACAAATCAGCTTAGGATACTTTCGTTTATCCCAAATGTTATTTATTCTTAATATTGAGTGGGTAGTATGAAATCAGGTTTCAAAACAGTTGTCCCCTATTATATGTATATTTTAAAAAATGGTCTAAGCATTATCATATCAAACAAATTGGTTAGAACATTAGTTTCTTACTGTAGAGAATTAAAACAAAATGGTAATCAAAAAACGTTTGGTAGGAAGGTGAATACTGTATCTCATGTTACAAGTATGACTGTGCTTTATTAATTGTTTACAGTACTATGTGAAAAGAACCGAAACATGATACAGCGCTGTTGACGCGTAATTATTATTACCATAAAATCCTGTTTTGACTCATCAATTTTCATCTGAAATAAAAATGCGATGATTGCTGTACTAGGTAAATTCATTCATCTTTTCTATGTTCAGAACGACTGTATAAATTTATTCAAACAGTTCTTCATATAATAACTGTAAATATCTGAAACTGAATTCACAATATGGTTCATGTTGTCTAAGTCACAGGTGTACTACATTTTGAGTAAGAAAATCCAGTTAGATGGTTTTATGTTTTTAATGAACTGAAAGTGAAAGTAATATTTGAACAATAAAAAACTCATGAGAAGTTGTTGATAGAATTCTACTAACTTTAAGCATTCTGTACAGTTATCTAGGTTTTGTAGCCGAATAAAAAGAAACACTTAAATTATTACTTACATGGTGTTTCTTCATGAAATTTTTAGTCCTTAGCAGAAGATTTGGGGTTACCTGTTTTTGTATATCAGAAGAATACTGCTTTTTAATCTCATCGTTTTCACTAAAACCAGTTAGACTTTTTCGAGACTGTTCACTATTAAAAAGGTGAAAATAAATGAATAAGTAAACTAAACTGTAATTCCTTTCGTATAAACTTTAGTGATATTACTGCTTCTTCGGATTCTTAAGAGCTCCAGAATTTTAGTTAAAGAATATGCTATATTATCCTTTAAGAAATGAAAAATGTCTAGATATTTAAAAGGAAGGAGAAAGTAGTGGAAATGTCATTTCCAATGAACTCGCTTTTTTACTGGAATGCTAGCAGTTTAAAACAGATGTGATCTACAGTTTCTAAACAGTTTTCAGTCGTACGGTCAAAGTTCATTAGGTAGTTTAAATCAATCCATGAAGGATCGGAACGCTTTGCGCAATACAGAAAAAAACTGATGGGAGTATAAAGCGAAAATAATTAGTGAGAATCGCAAGAATCCATCTGAAGATTAAGTCATTTAAAGTTCAAGTTGCTATCATATATGGTAGAAATATTTATAACCCCTATCAGTATTTAAACATCAACTGAATCTTTTGGTAGACGTCTCTTTCTTGATAGTTCTTACTTAAAATAATCATGCCGTTACACATTCTGTTTTTTTCTCCCTCTTGACTACTCTCTAAAATAAATAACTCCATATAATCTTCCATAAATAAATATGTTATCTTTCTGTATTAATGAGTAAAAATCGACTAAGAACCATTCGCAATATTATTTCAAAACTAGAAAGCTTTCAGAAAACTGTACGCGAGGCGTCAGTAATAAAAGATCCTTTTTGACAGAGTTATGAAGCATCATATTAGAATATGTAGAGATAATTTGGTAGTAACGTTTTTGAGGATAAATAAGTTGCGGTAGAAACGCACTAACTAGATGTGTATTTATGTCGGCAAAACTTTATTACATTCAAATTCTGTGTGTTAAAAAATTATGTTCCGGTGTAAAACGTAATGAGATGGTAAAGTGTAGAATAACGAAGTCTTTGATGAGCTATTTGCTTGGTATTTGATCTCGAATAAAGTTGACTAGGTATATATGATATCGTATTGCACCTTCAATATTTTTACTCTATCCCATTTTCAGGCGGATAAATGATTATAAGTTCGAAATTGATCTGAAATGTTCTAAGCTTTACAAACTTAAAAACTACTTCGATATAAATTTATTTCATTCCGAGTGTCTGTAAAAGTCACATGAGATTTAGTAGTCAAGGAAAACAAAGTAACACAACACGGTTATTTTCATGAACTCCGGGGAAATGAAAATTCTCAAAAACTGATGTCATCAAGCATTAAAGATTATCAATAATGCAGCTATAAAAGTGAAACGTAAGTCACTGCACTCGCTTATAATGAAAAAAAATTGTTGATGGGTTTGTTGGTTCTCTTCCTTCAGAAAATTAATTTTTACGCATACTTTTTCCAAGTATTTTTGTTTTGTATACGGATCCAAATAGATCAATAAGTGACAAAACTTGATAAACACTGAGATTTCTATCCGGTTTATTACCTTTACGACCAAAAAATCAAGCAATAGCAAAGGTGTATAAAACGATGGAAGAAAAATGTCATTAGTTCAACTACATCACCAAACGATACTTAAAAAATGCCAACTACATATGAACGAAGTAACAACAGGTTCATAGAGGTGATTTGTACTAGATTTACTCGTTGTCACCGGATACTGACTCCCAACACCAAGAAAACACACGTCATGTAAGCTATGATCTCCATATGATTTTGGCTGGAAGTATTAACTTCATTTCAACCCCATGTTTCATTTTGGCTAACATCTGGTCGCTATCAAGGCTCTTTATACCACCAAGCATTTGATAAACAGAAACATTCAAAACTTACATCACTGAATACTCAAACATATGTGCAAAGTGCTTGGCTAAATGAGGATCTATTCTTTACAGGCTTAAAAAGACGGACAGTGGGCTGTTGGAACAGGTTCAGAAAACTGCGCCTAATTTGATTCCACAAATAGCAAAGCTTCCATATGACTATCGACTGGCAAAGCTAAACATATTTCTATTGTCATATCGACGTATCAGAGGTGACTTGATCACAATTTTCAAATTACTTAGTGATAAATTTGTATTTCATATGCATTCACTATTTTGTCTTCAAAAACAGATTTTACAAGGAAAACGTTCATATATCCAAAACAGATTACTTGTCAGCTGACTATCGACTTTCCCATAGAATCATGAACAAATGGAATTCATTAAATCAACACGTAATTAAACCTCCATTTATCGATGCTCTCAAAAGAGAGTTGGATGAACTGGGCGACTACCGTTTACAGGACTGATACAGTACACCTAGCCTCCTGCCTTTCCAAACTGAAATGAGAACTTCGTAAGAGGTCATGATATCGTAATTAACAAACGTATACGTTATCAGTTAAAAAGAAATATGTTTTGATGTATGAGTGTAAGCAATCACTACTATACATGTAAGAGTTGAGATTGTACTCGATAAAAGCTTTTAAACTAAAGAAATGATAAAGTACATGAGTAAAATATCTATTTTAGCACCATTTCGTTATAAAAACATGTAAGTTATTTCTAAAAGTTAAAACCTTTGAAAAAAAGACCTTGTAATTCATTGAAAACATAAGAAAATGATGGCTAAATGCATACCTCTCAGGAATTTGGCTTATGGAAATCTCTGGTATTCCTTTCAATTTCGAAACATTATGATACGTCGTATCATCAGAATTATCAAATAAACTTGAGCGATGGTCAAAGGAAGTGTCATTAGAGTCTACTAGATCAAAGCCACTATTGTCAACCAATGAACTCTTATAAGACGGTGAATCTAAGCATTTGAAAAAATCTCTAAAACTTACATATAGGACTAAACTTTAGTTGGGAAACATCAGTAATATTAACGCCATCACCGGCATTGAGTGTGGAGTTCTTGATATCTGGTGAAACTTTGTGAAAAGAATCAGCCAATGTTTTTTTACATACGAGGAAACTGATATAAATCTCGAAATAGGGAATCGTTATTGTCAGATTTACCTAAAAAAAATAGTTGTAAAAATCATTACTTACATAAACCTCTTCGTATTTCCGGACTAGAGTTCAAATCTTGGTCATCACAATCATCTTAAAGGCAGAAAATATGGTAATTAAATCTAAGCTTACTGTCCATGGCCAGAAAGTACACTGACTTCACGAAAACAAATACATTATTTAAATTTTGCCTAATGCGCCTTTCTATAGTCGATACATCATAACGAAAAATATTTGAGGAAATGATAATGATAAATAATTAGAAATTCAAACACTTCCATCCTCATTATTTAACAATAACAGCTTTATCACAGAAAGAATGAGTCGATGGAATTAGTACGAATGTGGAACATTAAACGTTATAAATGCAGATTTTGCAGCCCACAGGTTTATCGATGGCCGAATAAATTCCAAATTAATAGTGTGCTCGAATTCGCTTTTAGCTGACTTCGGCTTTTCGGAAGCTCATCGGTGTGAACCTGTAGTCAAGATGTGTTGTGTAACATTGCTGATTAAACACAGTAAGTCCGGTTACGTTTGGTGTAATTCGAGGAACTTGTAGGGTGTGTCGTTAGTATGGATCATTTGCGTCATTAACAGCGACTAGGCACAATCTACTACCAGAAAGAATGTAACTCAAACATATTATTCAACGTTTCCCGCTACTAACCTCTATTTAGGCGAGTCAGTAATTAGATTATGGGGTTGTATCAGGTCTATAACAATGATTAACACAAAAACATCCGCAACAGCCAAAACTCAACGAGTGAGTGTGTGTAGACCCACGTTAAGGTAGTTATTTCGCTTCCAGTATGTGACACGCGGTTTTCCGTTTGCTACGTGTACGTTGAAAACTCTTTCGTGCAGTCGGTCGTTAGAATCGTCATTAAGAACACCAACTCCTGTTCCAATGTTTACGACGTAGTGAAGTTTCGTAACTACGTCAGTGATGCATAAACGATGACTATGTTGCCGTTGACGCGTGACGTCTGTGCAGTTTACCGAAACATTTTTCATTACTGTATGTTTAGAGTTAAAAAAACTGCTAGGTTTTCTGCAATTTCCCGTGCTGTTTATGATACCAGTACCAGTTGAGGTTATCTTTCTCTCGTGAGCTAGAGACAGATCGTTTTCGTGAAATACTGCTTCGAAATTTTGTGTGTACATTTGCTCATGACGAATAGTAAGGTAACGTGTCAGAGTATCTCAGAGTTCCGTAATGTCATTTCGTGTGATTCGAACATTTTATTTGATCGAAAAAACCTCGACATTAGATGTTTTGGTGATCTCCAGAATTCGGTCTATAAATGCAGCCTGCCTGTCTATAGCGTTGTTTTGAAATGAGACAAGCACTACTTGCGCTTGTTGGAGAGGCTTAGACAACAAAGCTGTCTGAACTGGCCCTTATCAGAGGTTCGTTGACTAATGACCTCCCGCATACGCAGCTACATTTCTTTTGTTGAGCCACGTTGTAGTTTGGTGTCGTGGAAGGATTTGTCCGACATTTGACTGTTCGTTAGGTCTTCACAGTCAAAGATAGCCTTCCCTAAATTGTCTTATGACTCCGAATCATCGCTAGTTAACATACTAGGTGTTACGTAACGGTTAAAATGGCGCTGGGGTGCTTTTAATACCACGAGGGTATGTGCAGGTGTGTCTGCTACGCCGTGATAGTGAAATTAGCTTCTGCGTTGCGGGACTGAGGTTTGATATATCTGGCCGGAATGACATTAGCTGAAACGAGAAAGTGAAAACATTTTAAAATTTAAGTCACTTAGGAGTCGATTGCGTCATACTGAATTTGAAGTTTACCAATGATCGAGAAAAAATAACATTCGAAAATATGAAAATAATACCACCATATGTAAAACAAAAATCAGAAAGTGAATAATAAGGAATAGAAAGTTTGCTGCTTGGTGTGCCAGATCACCCTGAGGTCACCAGTAAGGGTACAACAATTTTTCGGAGTTTGTCAACTCCTTTACAATTGAAGAATATCAACCCACTCAAACCAGATATCAGAAGTGAAGAGATTCAAAGTGATATTTGAAGGGTTATCAGCATGTCCACGAACATTTGGTCTAAGCTGACTAACAATTGGAAGGGATGCATTGGAAGGAGTACACACTCGTGATCTGGTGCAGATGCGTGACCGAGTGCGTTCAACAAAACATTTGTAACTAAAGCAATTCCATATTAGGGGACATATCAAATAAGCACAACAACGGGGAATTCAAAACGTGGAATGAAGTTGGGATACAAGGGAAAAAAATATATCAATCATGGAATACATTTAGCGAAAGACAGCTTTGTTCAAACATAATCAATAACTTTGCCTTGGATCAAATAATAACATTGGATGCAAAATTCCGTTGATAAGAAAGTGATGGTCAAGGAGAAAATAACGTTTCAAGTCATATCACGTGCATATAGTTGTGGCTTTCTCACTCCTATCCAGACACTCACAAACAGATACAAACGAAGAGATCCTACATTAAAGTCGCACAATGTTGAGGCGGATATTTATTTGTGCACAAATGCCAGACTGGAGGTTTTTAAAATTTTTTCTGTGCTCAGTTTGCCAGTTTTGCTGTCGAGAATTGCAAGTTGTACTTAATTAAGATCAATGTATTCTCTGTCTTATAAACTGTGATTTTTTATCAGGCATGTTCAGTACTTAAAGATACTCTTAAAGTGAGCAACAATTGTTATATTTGGCTAACACATATATATCTGCAGTAAATGGTACTGGAAATTCCTGTAGATCAGATGAGAGTGTAATCGAAGACACTTCTGTCCACTTATGTACGTTGTTCTAATTTTCTTGTTCACTGAAAAAGTCGGTGATTCACACAAGGGTGTAACTCACTAGAAAGGACATTTCAGGGGACAAATCTCATAAAATTTGGGAATTCGTCACACTGAGATATTCGTCAAACGCAGATTTACTGAAATCCAGGTGTTTGAAAAAAAATTTTGGTGGAAACCGGACTTAAGATGCAAAAGATATTTGAAGTCTCACATTCCTATACACGTAGCACGTTCATAGTCAGAGTATACCAAAGCAGCCAAATCAGAAGTCAGAAATGTAGGGGTTCCAAAATATATTTGGAAGGTTATTGTTATGTTGATGAGGATTCCGTCTAAGCTCTCTGGCAGTTGAAGGAAACGCTTAACAGGATGCACCCATCCGTGATCTGATGCAGATGCGTGACCAGGTGTCTTCAGCTAGGGTGTGTCCAGTAAACATAATAAGGTCAGCAACAATCTCAAAGACATACGAACCAAATTATTTTGGGAATTTATTTACAACTACGAACGGTTGCGTCCCATGTATCTATTTAAGATGTATGTAAGGCGCTCAAATATACTATATAGTTCTCACCGGTCGGAAATCAATACATAACCATGGCCGCCACCAGAATGTTACAGAATCAGATTTAGTGGAGGATATATCACATTTTTGTGAGCGAATTATTCGCGAGACGTTAGTGTGAATTTTTATTTACACATAAGATACACATTCATTCCCAGCCTTTGATACAAAGAGATTCAATGTAAATCTGTATAACATATATTCAGGTTTACAGCTTCTTATACCACATCTGAAGTAATTAACATTTACTATAAACAACCTTTTATGTCTTTCCCAGTTTACAGGCAATCATTATCTATGTCGTGGAATGCAATTTTACATGAGAAATGTAAAGCAAAAATATTATGCAAGCACACATGGATGGCAAGTCGGATTTTCGCTTTACATCTTATGGGCTGCAACGGAAGACTAAAGTTGGACAACTGCTACTATATTCATTGGTGAGTAATTCGGATAAGAGGGATGATGAAGTATAACAATCATTGATGAACACTGGATAGTAATTGAGTATTGAAATTCCTTGTGAGGATCTTCAAATGAGTACGTTTGTTTCTGTCTGGACTAGTTTTGAAGCCTCATAGTTCACATACAACGCTAGGTTGTGCTATGAATATTGAAAAATTATAATGAAACTTTCAAAGTCTCCTACTTGTGTATTAAACTTTGTCTAAAGAGAACATAATTTCTTACAGACCAGCACGATGTATTAAATAAAGTTTCGTTTTATTGCTTTTTTGCAAATCGACTGTTGACTGCAGATAAATTCAGCTTCTTTACCTTGCAAAATTTCAATAGGTCGGGAGCGTTCCACAAGTTCCGATTGTGTCTTTATTTTGGACTTGTGCAGTACGGTCTCAACTTTTGATACATTTAATCGGGTTTTTCTGCATGAAGCTGAAAATAAGTGACCAATAAGGTCTTCATCCAAAATCTCATGTGTTATCTAGCACAACTGCGAGCCGAAGTGTTGGAACAAAATATCGAAAATCCACAAAGTTTACCGGTGATTGTGGGCAGGTTTTCGAATGTCATAACATGCGTGTTCGTTGTTCACAGTGATATATATATATATATATTCAAGAGCTTCCGGGTCTAAATAAGCGATGATTTTGGTTAATTTTGCATTACGGGACACTGAATTTAGATGATATTCTAAATACCAGCCTTGTTTGCATAGTGACTTGAATGTGCCTCTGTAGTTTTAGTAAATCTTCTGAACAAATGATTTTTCTAGCTTTCGAGAGCATTCATGAGGTTCGACAATGTTCTCTCGGTCTTTTCAAAGTGGCATGTTTCAATGACTCGAGAAATTTCACTGCACTCACAATTATATGCCAATGGCTTGACAATTTTGTTCGCAGTGGTGGCTTACTGTTTAAAGTAAGTACAAACTCGTATCTGTCTACTTTGTTTTAGGGAGGTGAGTAGTTCTACTAACTTGCAGTTCGTATTCGGCAAATGACTTTATTATGTGAAACGGAACACAGTATATACCTAGCTTTTAGCATAGGGGTTTTTTGTGGAGATTGCCATCTTTTAACCGTTTTCATCACGAACTAATCCTAGTTAAACTACTATCGAAAACTAAAAATTAATGGAAAGCCGTCTTTCTCTAGTCCGGGACTCCTTAATAGCGCGGATTCACAACCCCATATGCGATCAAACCAAGGATCTTCGGTCTAACTTGTGGAGTTCAACAAAATCTGGTGTAAAACAATTGTCCACCTCAGACAATGGAAGATAATCACGCAATTCCGCGAATGCATTAAGGCTAGACAACATTGAATAGCGTCCCAGTGGTCTGTAGGGCCTGGCACGTGTGACCGAAGATTCTTGTTTCAGTCTCTAATGGGGTTGTGGATACTC